AAATACGTACATGTAATAAACAAAATAAATATTATAATAATATTCATTTTATTTATTACATGTATTATTTTAAGCAATCCTCAATTAAATATAAATATTTGATTGATTTGATCGAGCATTTCTATTGGATTCTATAGTTTATATGTATATACATATATGACATGTCACGTATAGAAATGCAATATGCTCACAAGGTATGCAGATGTAAAACAAACACTTCAAGGCACCTCTAATTGTCAATATAGCTCAACAAAATCAATTTTGAACATAAATAACATTATTTTTTGTATGAATTAATCTGTCGAACTAGTGTTTGAGATGAAATTATTATTGTTATTCAGCTATATTATATGTTCCTTTGTCAACGCATATAATTAATATAAACTTCTCCTTATTCAATGGACCACAATATAACCACCTTAATAATAGCCAAAATGTTTTTCAAAAAACATATGTCTTTACCATATGTCTGGTCAAGTTAGGTAAGACAAGTTCAAAACACAACCAATGGCGCGTTTCAAGCATACTTTCTCTTTGAAGAAGCATGTGTTAGCATAAAATGAGCAAGGATGGTCTACAGAATGGCAATAAGACTTTGAAAGAGCATTTTAATTCAACAACAGGAGAATTCTTCTATGAAGAATTGCCGGATATTGTATTGAATTTTTTGAAGGGTAAAACAAATTGTAGCATAAATAAATTGGGTGATAGTGAACTTTTAAATAAAGGACCGAAAGTGAAGCTCCCAGAAAGTAAAAGTTTTGAATTCAAGTCCAAACCACCATGGTATAAACGAGAAGGGCCCAGACTTGTAAAGCCGAAGAAAAGAACGAACTTATCACCTGTGCTAAAAAGTCAGATTTCAAATGCAGTAGCCGAGATTTTGAAAAGAACAGAAAAAAATCAAATAAAAAGAACTGGAAACAATTTAAGCAACAATGTTTCTGTCACTGGTTTAATAACTAGAAGAAAGCAATCTCCAGTATTGCCTTTTGTAAAACATAACACATCTTTTAACACTCTCCCATACTTACTTAAAAAAAGTGAGAGTATCAATGAAAAATCACTAGAACTTTCTGAAAAAAACATTGAGCAAACAGAAACTAATTCAGATACTATTTCAGAACATTGGTCAAGTTTGACAGTTGAAAATGACAACATATATTTTACACCTTGCATAGGAACTGGAATAATTGACAAAGAATTACAGAGTAGTGTATTAGCAAAGATTTCTTTGGATTCATTTCTAGAAGTAGCAAAAGCATTACAGTGTCCTTCAGAATTGAAAACGTCCATCATTCAAAACTCCACATCCTACTTTGAAAGATATTTAAACAAAAAGCATGGGATATATTTTGTCGATACCGAACAGGACTCAAAAAATCTTGAATTTGACAATATTGCTGACACAGATCAACAATATTCAGGTACAAATGATGTTGATCAACAATCAATTACACAAGAAACTAATTTGTTGAATATATGTATTAAATCAATTGAGGACCATAGTAACATAGCATGTTTTAATCTTTTTACTAACTCAAATGAAACCGTTGAAGACAGTATAGAAAAACAAAGTGAAATAAGTTCTGCTGAAATAAAAGAAGCTAATAATCAAACCTCTTGTGAAGAAACTTCGTTGAGTGCAATTACCAATTCTCTAACAACTGATAAAGAAAATTTGTCTGAAGGTAAGTCAAGAAAGAAGAAAATAACTATCTCTTTATCATACAAGCAACTCGTTAAGTTAGTTAAATCATTAGAAACTGCACCTTTAGATCAAGGTAATGCTGTTACTGTTAATTTGGGAAATGCAAACCCAAAACATGTTTTAGAACTTAAAGTTCATAATACAGGCCAGTCAACAAGTGATTCTTCCAAAGTTACTAAAAAAAGGCTCGAACAATCAAAAAATGTTATTAAGGAAATAAACAAACTACAAGAAATAATAGCTGATCTTCAAAGAAACGTACTTGATACTGTTACTAAAACACCTGCCAATGAACAACCTAATATTCCAAGAGAAATTGCACCTAAAAAAAGTATTGTAATTGTTGACTCTGAACAGGTTGTCCCTAAGCCTTTATTCACACAGAAAACATTTGAAAATAATAAAATCCTTACTAATGCCGAGCCTAAATATTCACAGCCATACCTTGAAAGATCATCATCTACACTAAAACTTTTAAACAAATCAAATGAACAAAAGTGGCCTCCTTTATTATTTCCTACAAATAAAAAGCAGACAAAAGTGATACAGAAAGACCAGGATTCAAGCCTTGAGAGGAAAAATTATCTAACTAGAAGAGAAAAAGAATTTAATACATCCACAAGTTTAAATACAAAGCCAAACATAGTTAGAAATGCAGGAATCAAGTTCAAAAATTCAATTTTAAATGGTTTAAAATTAAATGATAGGAAAATCAATAACAGATTAGCTAAAAAACAACCATTTAAGTTAAATTGTCAGCAAACAGTGAAAACAATTGAAAATAAATTTGTGCGACCTAACACAGTACGAAGAATACCCGAAGAAACTGCAAGCTTTGTGGCAGAGAAAACAAAGAGGCCTTACAATTATAGAAAAACTATTGCAGGTAAATCAACAAAATATCCAATTCAGCCTTTACTTACTCTTCAAAAAAGTCTCAAGTCTAATTTGGTAAAAATAAATGAATTAAACAAAAAATTATATGATAAAAAATCCATCAGTTGTGAAAGTGTTCCTATTTCAACAAATAATCCATTATACCAAGATTTAAATGAATATTTTAAAAACAGATATAAAGCAAAGCAAAAAACAGAAATAATTAAAAAAGAAACAAATCTTACAAAGTTCAATAACAAACTCTCACAAAATATTAAAGAAGAAACAGACACCAGAAATGCTTATGTTAATTCGCGTGAAGCAACAACTTTAAAACCTATATCCACAAAGAAAGTTATCTTAGAAACATTTGGTGGACAATTTACCCCTGTTAACAATTTTGTACAAAATGAAGACGAAAGTAAAAAAATATTATCAGAATTACTTAACAACCATTTGTTAAATTTAAATGGTATATCAAAGTTAAATCTTTCAAGGCAGTTGTCCAAGAGTGATTCTCATATAGGTAAAGATCAAATATCACCTGTTGTCCTTCATCAAAATAAAGGAGTACTAACTAAAATTTTTTCAGAACACAAATTAAATTTTAACAAACCAATTCAATGCTTTCACCACGTTAATTTCAAACATACTGATAAACAAACTTCTGAATGTTTGAATGAAATTGGCCCACAAAATAAATCAATTCAGTGTATGAGAAGCCTAGAATATGTAGTTTCACAAGCAACTATTCCTTCCGCAAAATCTAAAATTCAGACAACTCAAAATTCCGGAAAAAGTAATCACAGTTTGAAAGCTGTCCCAAGTCGACCCGTATCACAAAAAAGTCATCAAAACTTTAATAATAGTCAACGATCTCAGCCACTCTCTAAAGCAAAACTGGTATCTCAGATTACTTCCAAACAAACTGTACCAAAATCTCAACAACAGTCGAATACAGACATTGCCGGAAAAAAATTAAAAGTAACCCAATTAACTGTAAAATCAAGACCTTATAAAACAAATGAACGTGGATTATCAAAGCCAATTTCAAGAACCAAATCAACCCCTTTTGAAAACTCTACATACAATTTAATCTCTACTTTACCAAAGTATTCACGTTGTATATCTAGTACTCAGAAAACAAATACAAAAGTTAATTCTCTGGGAAAATTTCCTAATCGAACTAATATAAGAACTAATCCTCATAAATTTCCCCCGCAGAGAACATATCCAACTGGTACATTTAAACCAACCAGACACACAAATTCTAAGAAAAGAAAAATTCCACATACAGTGTCTAAAGCAACATCAGTTTCACATTCAAGGACATTACTAGCTTCTTCAAATACTCGAGACAACAAACAAAAATCCCATTCCACTATTTCATCTAAGACTCACCCTAGAAGCATTTCATTAGTAAATGTAGAGAACAAAAATCCATTTGTTTGTGAGTTTGGTGATACATGTAATGTAATAAAAAAAGGTTTAGTAACCCAGCCAGAAGACATAGAACAAAATAATAACAACAGCAAATTCAAAAATCCGAACTGTCTTTGCATTACAGAAGAACAGTATAGTCAACTATACAGTGCTGTTGCTGATAAAAAAAATACGAGTTTGAAATGTACTTGTCATTCAAACTTCATTAACAATCTACATGAACAACATACTGGTGCAGATCAGCAAAGTACTTCTACAGTTCTACCCAACAAACATGAACTTTGTCACTGCTTATCAGAAAAAAACAATAAAATAAACATTAGGCTCACAGAAAACCAAATGTGCTCTCGAGGGTCAAGACAAGGTGGATCACCTTGTCAAACTCCATGTTCCATACCTAAGCATTGTGCTAAGTGTCAGAATCTCATCCAACCCACATGCTCAGGATCTCCTCCAAAATTGTGTCGCAAATGTAAAAAACCATTAAATCCATTGTGCCCCTCGTTCTTACCAGAACCTTCTCCTTGCCTTAAACATGTGAGCACAGTTGTACCTAAAAGTCTCAAATGTGCAAGATGTCAAGCACCAATTACACGTGTTGAGAACTATGCACAACATGTAACTCCACATCAAATATTGGGCCCAGTTTATGGAAAACCAGTAGAAGCAGAGGAATCGACTATAAAGCAAGATGAGTGTGTTTGTCAATTGCCAAATAAAAAGGATAAGCCCACCTGCTCATGTCGGAGTAACACACATATTGTCTATCCACTTTTCATTAAATCCAAACAAGAGTCTGACATAGATAATAAACGTATGCAATCCAACCCGAATGAATATAAACGAGGAAATAATTCATACAATGAACATGGGAGAATACCAAAACAATTAGATTTATATAATTCCTCTCAATTGCCTTCAATTATCACCTGCCCAAGTGCACCTCCGAAAGATTTATTCGAATATCCTTCAAGTATCCAAGACGCAAGACTTTAAAAAATAAAGAAAATAATAAAAAGGCTAATTATAAGTTGTTATTTAAGAAGTAAAAATGGAACATTATTGTCAAGACAAGAAAGTGCCATGTAATCCATTTGACCCAACTAGAGTAGCTCCATTCAAAGAACTTGCAAGAAAGTCTAACGCATTAGGAGTACCACCTGAACAACTAAAAACAAAATTTTCACTTCCAAAAAAACAAAGTACACTGGAACGTAAACCGTCAGAACAAATTGAAGCCAAATATTCTCAAGGGTGTCAAACGATTGAACAACAAAATGCTTTCTACTTTACACAATATGTTGCAAATGATATTTGTAGAAAAGATAAAGAATGTGCAATTTATTCCTTTATGGAATATGTATTAAATGCTACCTTCCATCCAAAGACTCCAGTTGTGCCAAAAGGTAAACCCAAGAGAAAAAAATGTGACCATATAAATGAAAGCGAAACTTGCAAGACATGTGAAAAAGTTGTAGATTCAATTGTTCAAACCATATTCAAAGATCAATTCGGTGTTCCAAAAATCTACCCTTTGGCTGAAATGGAACAATCTAAACATGTAATCCACCAACCTGTAAGCAATAAATGTGTACAAATAGGTGATAGAAGGCCTTTAAAATCAGCCATGAATAGGAAACTTCATTCTTATGCCAATAATTTTCCACCAGCACACTCAGAACAGCGGACTAATTTGTACAATGTGCCAAAGACAGAATTAGAACATCAAGAAAACCTTCTAGATTATATATCTAAAACAATAAATGGGCTTACAACTGATCATGATAAAGAAAAGAAAACACTTGATGAACTAAAAGAAGAAAATTTGAAATTTATGTACAATATGAAAGTTAATGATGAATTGGAGCAAAAGATGAAATGTAGATCTGAACAAAGCCGAAGTTATATTTCTCAAGCTGGTTCAAAAGAGACATTTTTGACCTGTTATTCTTGCATTCCTGATTCCCCTTTTACTAATCAAGAATTTAATCCACCTTCTACATTTTCAAATTATCAAAACAAAATACAAAATACCATGTATCAATCAACATTGTGTAACGAATGTAATTGGAAACTTCATAATTACATTGGAAATCAATCAAAAAAACATTACAACAGAGGTTCTGAGTATTATGATGAACACAATGGCTTACGGTCAGCATATAACACCAATGAAGAACCAAAAACCAGAAGGATTTGTAGTCATAAATCCTTTGGCCAACATTGTAGTAAACACAGCAATTGTACAAACTATGAACTAAACACTAACAGAATGTCAGGAAAAAAAACTGGTGAACAACCTATGAATTCTCATGACTTTACTGTACTATTTAGAAACCATATTGATTATTTTCCACAGGCTAAAAAGCAGGTTGACTACAGCAAAGAAGGTATGAAATATTCAGAATCAGAGTCAAATTTTAGTCCTAATCGTTATTCTTCGCAGGATCATCCTTTGATTCATCATGACGTAAGGTCAAATACTGGATTGCCAAATGATTTTACTTTCAAGAACCGTGTTAATAACATTCCATTGCTCTTGAAAAATATTATTGGTGCCCCAAGGAAACTTGGAGAACTTAAAAGCACTTGCACACAAACAAACGAGCAGAAAAAATATGATAATAATGAACAAGTGAATATTCCTGTGAATAACGAAAATAACTTGCGAGCATCACTTGAAAACATTGTTAACCATTTGGTAAGTGACAAAAATTTAGAGGAACTGTTCAAGGAAAGATTAACTGTATATTTTAAGGATTTAATAAAAATTCGTTTGAATGAGAATGAGCCATCTTTAACAAGTCAACGTATTGATGAAACACCTGTTTTGACAGTAAATCCATTGCAAGAAAATATTCATGTTAATTCTGAACCCAGGAGGTATTCTAATGATTCTAATTTCGAACATAAATCTATAAAAGCAGATCAATGTACCCAAAGTGAAAAACGTGATTCCATAATTGTTTTAGATTTCAACGATGATTTTCGAATCAAATCCCCAATCATGGGATGTTGTAATGTTTCGGCACAAAATGAATACTTAGAAAGTAGTGCTGGCTTACAGAAGAATTTTCACTTTTCTACTGGCAAAACAAAGGGTACTTCTAAAAGTAAAGGTTTCAGCAAACATAACATTATAAAAAGCAAGTATAATCATGAGAAAATGAGGCTTCCAGACGAGGTCCAAAATATAATACGCAAAAAAACAAAAATCACTCCAATACGAGAAACAGCAATTTACACAGAACAAACAGAACTGGACATAAATATAAGAGACCCTATGAAATATTTAAAATCATTACAAAAACAAAATGAAAATAAAGATGAAATTATTCAACAAAAGCATAAACCAGTTGATGCAATACCTACAGGAAATACAACAAATTTACTAACATTTTATGAAAAAAAAATTAACAAACAAAGTAATGTTGAAAGCCAAGCTGAAAATCAGTCAAAAGAAGAAATCCACAATGAATTAGATAATCATACAAGTGTACCTAGGGAGGAATTATTGACTTTTTTAGACATATTCCAATCATTTACCAAACTAGTACCAAATCATAATATCTTAAGTAATAATAAAACTCTATTCCAAATAAATATAATAGCAGATAAAGCTGAACAGTTACTTCAACGTATATTTGAAGCTTCCATGAGACTTAAACCTTCCTCAATTCATTACAATAATGAATTAAAAGAGAAAGAAGACAGCGAAGAATCAACAGTTCAAACAGATTTTAAGAGCATAACACACAAAAAAAGTAATATTCCTTTTGCAGAAAATCTTCTTCCAGAGCAACCTACTTCACCATTATCAACACCAACACCATTTTCACCACAAACACTTCCCACAAAATCAATGCTACCTGCACGATGTTTTCTTTTTTCGAAATCAGAGCCATCTTTAAAGAAAAAAAATTCATTAGCTGTTTTGGTAGATAGTACAGAACACAAACTAAAATCTACTGAAATTTCTCCAACTTACACAAAACTTGCTGAACTGAAAAAGGCAGGAAATGTTTCAAAATCAAAGAAGAAATTCATACCAATTTCTGTCAGGGAGAATAAACCTTTGATGCTAATCCACAAACTTCAACAGAAAAACATTATGGCTAGAACAGATTTATTATCGTTGACGACATTAAAAAATAAAAAATATAGACACTATTTGAAAAAAGTGTTAACTGATAAAGTCAATAAAGATTCCCAACGGAAAGGAAATCAAGCACTTCTTATTCAAGTAAAGAAGGCACATAAACATTTTAAGAAAATGTTTAATAAGTATTTAAACTTAATAAATGAGAGTGACAGTAAAAGTACCCAAATAAACTCTGATGACTCTCGAAACAATCTGAGAGCATTGAAAAGTGGTGACAATGAGTTTAGAGATGTTTTTCCATCAAAAATGAACGGAGCTTCATCAAGAATAAGACTCCCTCCTTTAATCACTTTACCTTTTTCCTCATCAAAATATCAAAAGTTAGAATATTTTACATGTGAAAATGATTGTAAAGCAGCAGAAATAATGAACAAGCCTGAAGACTATTTAGGAGCAAAGGACTTATCAAACTCTAATATCAATATTAAAAATTACATTCTATGTGATATTCCTGAAGAAAAGAAATGTTTTGAAAACGATATTTTGCCAGATTTCTCTATGCTGAATTGTTTAAAAGGTAAAATAATTTTTTCCCAAGAATCTAAATCAAAAGGGAAAATTGAGGAGTGGGTTTCAAATAATATAAATATAAATTCTAACTATGAAATTGAAAGTGTAGTGAGTGATGATTCATTGATAAGCCAAGAAGAACTAAGTGAAAGCAAATTCTTCTCAATACCATCTTTCAGGACTGATTCTAACAACGCTTATGTATTTTATACATGTTCTGAAGATGAATCAACTAGGAGCCCATCAGTTAATTTTTTTGAACAGTTGAAATCACAAAAAGAACATGAACTGTTAAAACGAAAAATAAACTTTACAATTTTGCCAGATCATAAAAAGGAAACAAGTAATGAATCAGATTCCTCAAGGTCTTACAAATCCCGTGAATTTTATTTGCAGAATACTACTCAAATAACTCATAAATTATGCGATTATCGCCATGCCGAAGAAAAAAATATAATAAAACAGAAAAAAAATGATTTTAACAAAAAATTCCAGAATTCTAGTAAAACTCCACCAAGAAACTCTATAATAAAATATGAATGGGAGGAATCAAGTATGGAAATGGTTAAAAAAACACCTTCTTATAAAAGGAAATGCAATATGAACTCAGATTGTACAACCTTTATGAACAAGAACTCAAGCAAATTTAGGTCATCTAATAAATTGAGAGATGAGTTTTATTTGAAGGTCTGCTCAAATCAAGATAAGTCAACTATGATGGATACAAAAATTCATTTTGTTTCAAAAAACTCTAATAAGCATCTTAGTAGAAATGGTAATTATTTTGAGCCAACTTTTAAAACTCTTTCAAAGATTGCAAACACAAAATCACACAAACTAAGCCCAACACAGAAACTGAGGAAAACGTTTCATTCAAAAGTTTATTCTGACAAAAAAAACACTAAAATAGATAAAATGCTTGTTTTCAAAGACCATCTTGAGCAACGGGGAAAAACTATAAATGCTGAGTCAAAGATAAAAGATGTGAGTAGTAAATCTCTTCTTGATGATATAGATGAGTGCAATGAACAGCATTTTTCTCCTAACACTTTCAAAGATTATTTCAAAGGCAGGATAGAAAATAATTCAGGTGTAAATTCACATTGTGTTCAAAATAATAATAATTATACCCAAGAAAACAAACCTGCAGAATCAACCATTGAAGAAAAAGTGCATCGAAACAGAGTTGAACTTTTTAAAAACAGAGTAGTAATTTTGAAAGAAGTATTGGACAAATTGGATGATGCGGTGTTTGTATACAGAAAAATTGATACGATTCTAAAAGAATTTTCATGTAAAATGTCACAACCTTTAGCCAGCAGCCTTGGTAATTCAGAAAAAAAGCATATACAATGAAACATGTTTTGATCTGCTAAACAATAAATATGGGCTTACAATTTAAGACATGTATACATCTATACACCTACAAATAGTAAATCCTTAAACCTAATAATTCTTGCAGCAAATTTTTTTAAACCATGCTGTTTATTAAAGTAATGTTAGATCAGAAAGTATGCCTCAACGCAATTTTATAAATGTAATGTTTTTTAATGTCAAAAGCCATATTTATCTTGTTCTTACAACTTGTGTCAGCTTAATGTTCAGACTTTAAAAGAAAAATTATTTTAAAATTCAGTGATAAATCAATAAATCATATATTTTAAGATTTTCTAGCTTTTCATTAAAAATTAGCTAAGAATAAATTAATTCTTACTAATATGATAATAATAATAATGAACGCATTTATTGTCACATGCATTATAAAAACATACATTTATTTTTTATTTTTTAATATGCTAGATAGGGAAGGCCTATTTAGGCAAATTAATTTTTTTTTAAAACTCTAGCAAGCACTTTATAACAACCCCAAAATTAAAACAAAGAGCAAAAATTTACGCCACAAAATAGAACAAAAAAAATTCGCACCACTACTCTCGAAAACACTAAGGCTTTTCAAATTGTTGGGACATTGCTTATTACCACAAAAAATCTTCAAAAATTAAAACCAGCTTAAGCTCATTTTGCATCAACAACACTTTGAAACTGTGCTACAAAATAAACTATTTTGCAAAAGGGATTCTTTTAACATCAATTGTCTGATCTCTTATCTTTCACCTTTGCACCAATTTTTCTTGTAGTACTAAATCAAAAATTACAAACAATTATCCATCAAGAGGTTTTTTTAATAGTAGAAACATCAAGGTGTATTGCTTGACTCTCAGACTATCCAATTTTAAAAACCAATCAACCATTTTTGGGATAACTGAGTAATCAACATGAAATCAAAGCAATGGAACATGTCTTGACACAGCAACATGAAGCACTGGTTGAAAAAAGCAAAAAGCAGAAAAAATCCCCAATTCTTGCTGTTAAAATAATCTGGACTAACACTTTGCCCAAAACACCTGCTTAACAGTATGCTCTCGATGGATGTTGTTTCTGTGTTAAAGAAAAAAAAAAAGGCTAAGGTTAAAATGAATCAGCCTCTTTATGACCCTACACAACTCGACTGATATTGGTTAATGTGCAATTTCAATTAATATCTAGATCCCTTTGTTATGTTTAAGGTGTTTTATCAGATCCCAAAATGTGTTAATGGATTTAGATCTGGACTTTTCCTCTCTGAGTAATAGGAATCTCAGCCTGCATAGACCTTTGCACCAATTGAGGACATGTGCTGTTTCTTTTTTTCCCCTAGCAACATATCCATCGCTTGTTTCTGCTGCTCCAAGTTTATACATATGCCAACAGAGTGTGAAGTCCTAAGCATTCTAGTAGTAACATGTCCTAAGTTCTGTAGTTTTGCTGTTAGTTTCTGTGATGGTTGTTTTAAAAACTTTTTCACTTTAGGCCTAGATGCAACCCCAAAGAGCTCTGGACTTTACTGCCAATAGACTTTAGGCCTGGCTGACTCAATAGATGACTATTATTTTGTTGATAACGACTTATATGAATTCATGTCCTTGGTTTATTTCCAGATTCCAGCTCGTGAACCATACTCAGTCTTAGAGACATCTGTATACCAGATCTAATCGGTATAAAGTGGGATCCCTCCCTCTGTCTGTCCCCATAAGATATTTTAATTTAAAATTTCTTGTCAAATCTGAATTTTGGGATTATGGCATCAATAGGCATCTTCAGAACCATGGCTAAATTGTGGCTCTACACTGTCCTTAATGAAGATGTGTTGTGGTAGTTCTAGTCCTAACACGTCCAATGTTAAATAATTCTGTCATCACTTTCTGTGATGGTCCTTTAATGAACTTTTTCGCTCTGCCCTGGAATCCCATTGAACCGAAAACATATTCTTAACCCATTGTCTGCAATCAGACATGCACTAAGGCGAGATCTGAGAATCTGCATTTAAATCTCAGATACAAAGAATAGAAACAATTTAAAACAGGCTGGTAAGTTTATAAACATTGGAGACCCATGGAGATTCATAGCATATTGTTTTCATGTCAACTATTGAGCAAAACAGTTTTTTAAAAAGGTTCTAAATTATAAATGTAGAAAACCTTTTAGTACGATGTTTTTTTTTTGTTTGTTTTTTTAATTTATTTATTAAAACTGGATTTCAAATGTACAATGTTTAAATGTAGTTGTATATTTTTTGTGATCATTACTTTATTCTTTCAATCTACTCCATTGTTAAAGTGAAATATCAATATGTCATTTTTTTGTGAATTTAAGGCATACAATCACAACAATCACATTCTCCTTTGTTAACAATTTTAGCACATGAGTCGCAAAGTAGCTCATTACTTGTTGGCTGACTTGGGTTGACCTGCATTTTTGATGCGTATGTTGAAGATAATTCTAAAGCGCAGGAGTCACAAAGAATGTTGTCATTGCTATATAATAGTTCACTCATTTGTAGTTTTCTGCACGATTCACATAGCAGTTCGTTATCTGAAGTTAATACTCCCTCTGTATGAGGTAGCGATTCACATGTCTGAAGTTCGCTGGCCTTCATTGACCCATAAGTAGAAAGGGGAACATTTGAACTGCTTATGTTTGTCATTGTAAATTTGTCAGTCCATTGCGGCATTGGTGGGTTGTCTTGTGGATAAAGAACATCTCTTGTTGGAAAGTAATTAACATAATTGTACATATTATCACTTGTAAATGGAGTTTTATCATCATACATGGTAAGATATATGTTTAAATTAGCTCTTCTAGCACTGTTTCCTTTTAGAAGAACTTCTTCTGGTGTCATAGACCAAATTCTGCCCGTTTGCTTTCCCTTACAGCAGCATTCACACATTGTAATTGTTTGTATAAATTACAATTATAATAATTTTTAAAATTTGATAAACAACAATTTTATAACTATCAAAACAAGATTACTACAAATTTTGCTTTATTTTGTTTTTAAACATATGTATGAAAATAATATCTTTAATCAAACACTTAAACTCTTTAAATAATTTTTAAGGATTTTGAAAAAAAAAAATAAGCCTAAGTCATTAATTGGGTGATGGGTTAAAACCTGCATTGATTCTATGAGGTGATGAGAGAATGATGATTTAGGAGAGGCAAGGAAATTGACAGAAGCTGCTCTCACTTCCCCAAACTCAAAACAATTTCACTCTCCTATTCTTTGTTTGTCAAAATTTATTTATCAATCCAGTAAGGAACTCAGAGCTTTCTGATGTTAGATGGGGAATATTTCGAAATTCGTATAACAATATTCTTATCCAGAGGATAGGATATATCTTTTCTTTCTCCAATGTGTAGCAAGCGCTGAGTTTATAATTTTAGAGCTATAAATAAATGCGATGAAATAATTTGCCCAAGAAATAAAACATTAATATGTTCTGTCTTGCACTCTGCCTTGTCACAAATATTCGTGGCATTAAAATATCTTTCTCATAGAAATATTGAGGTTGTTTTCTTATGGATTCCTGGTAACAGAGGCATTGCTGGAAATGAAATTGCAGAGAAGCAGCTAGTAAGAGAAGTTCCAGGTGACAACTATATTTCACATAAAAAAATCAGAAATTTGGTCTTAATGGGAAAAAGACTAGCATGATGTTGGTGAAAATAAATTTACGGAAATAAAACTAATGGTTAAACCTTGGCATAGTTCTTATTAGGATTAATCTAGAGGAGGAAGTGATGCAAGATTTAGAATTGGCCGTCATACTAAGGGTCATCTAATGGCTAGAGAACCACCCCCAATCTTTCTTGTAATGATTATTAGAACAAAACACAATCTGTCCAATCTATTCAGCCTGCAGACATATCTCTCATCCGCAAACCCTCTATGACATACTAAGAGATTATCCAGATTTCATAGACCTACTTTCAATTTCTTATGGCTGCTAATTTAATTAAAAAATTATAAATTAGTGTGGCCTTCACCATTTTTATAAGGAGGGGGGGTCTGATTCCATGGGGGTGGAGGCCAAAGGTTCTGGCGTGGCAAAGAGGTGTGCGCGTTACACATGGGTGAAAAAGAAAATCCCATTTCCCACAGCCCATGCGCATCCCTACAGGAGAGCTGAAATAACATTAATTCAGCTATAACACTACACTGTTTATAATGCTCGTCCCTCTGCACTGCAGCTGGCCCTCTGGACTTTCTCCTCTCTGGCTCTGGCCCCACCAGTTCTACCTGCATGGTGAGGAGACTGCATTAGTAAATGTTTTAAGGCAACTAAAAAAAATTAAAAAACCATGTGTAAGTTTTATTCTCAAACTATACATCAAATTTCAAACACATGATCCTACGTTAGTTGTAAAGAATTGTTTATGTTTTAAATCTTATATTAAATTTTCTCAAACAAAAATGGCTGTGGAAATGAAAAAGACATACAAAGGATACAGCGGAAAAGTTTTTTTGCCTCCTGATCAGATAAATTACATTGCTAAATATTACAGAGGACTTAATCTCAATTTGCGTTTGTCCCTGATTGAGGATGATCCAGTCAAAGCACAAATATGCTCAACTTGTGATTGTTGTAAACAGCTACAAAGCAAGCAGCAAGAGCTCCATTCACAAGTGAGACAGCAACGTCCACGATTAATTCCAAACATCCAGTGGGGAATAACTCCACAAGAAATGATGCTGCTGGATACTGTAAAGCAGGTTACTCAAGGTCCAGCGCCTTTAGCTGTGGGTGAATGCCCAACTTGTTCCACTGCAACTAGTTCTCAGTCTTATTTGATATCAAAGACAAACAAATAGAACATAAAATAAAGTATAATGTGACAATTCATAACACAGAAAAATCTTAAGAAAAATATTGACCTAATTATTTAAATTTAATGTCAGATTGGAAACAATATTAAAATTGTGTATACACATTTTGTTTCTTTCATTTTTGTTTTCTTAAAGCTAAAAAACAAAATTCACACATATGTAACTATTTAAAAAATGGCACATGTTTTAATTCAAGAAATCAAGTAGAAATATAAAAACATTTACTTACACAAGGAGAAACAAGCTCTTACTTCGGACATGGATTTTTGATCTAGAACACTCTCCTTCGACTGAAATGGACTCACAGTTGTGAAGCGGAAGTACAAATTAATTCCAGGAACTAAATTGTAATTATTGTGTGGTTTTTGAGAAAACGTTGCATCTATGAACATTAAAAAGGTTCAGGACCTACCCAAGAAACTGGTAATAAGAGGTACACTAATACCAACATCAATTTTCATTCTTTTCGTCATACTCCTTTAAAGAATCAGACAGCAGGATTTCAGAATGAAAAGAAATCGTCACAAAATGCGGCCGGGTGGAGATAATTGTTTTTATAATGTCTACACGTGTACTTGTACGGATACACAGGTAAATGCTAAAACATTTGAACCTCAACCTTGTTGCCCATGCCCCAAACCGCCTTGTCCTCAACCAGAAGAAATGGTTCTGACAACAGTGGATGTTGTTCCTTTGCTAACTCAACTGCTTGCATTTCATTTGAATTCTATCGCACAGAAGGGCCAAGACGTTAACAACTTTGCAGGACAGAAACTCTGCCAAATATGTTGCACTCCACTTGATAGAAGAGTCATTTGTGCTGAAAAATGTTGTGGATGTAATGACAATAAAGCATCCAAATGTTGTGGTTGTAGCCCAAAACAATCATAGAAGGTCAAATAAATTTATCATGTTGAAGTAACTACAAAAAATTCTTTTATTTTTAAATTTCTAGCATATTTCATAAATAATTGCATACATATATTTTACTACTTTATTTTTCCTTCTTAAAGTTGTCTTTCTAGTTTAAATACTTTTACAGCCACCATTATAAATCTTGATGTATAAAAACGACCCAAAAATCTCAAATACTGTCACGTAAGTCTGGTTTTCAATTTTTAAGGTAACTCAATTATGTTAAACAAATTTAGACATCTAAATTGAACTAATCAGATGATAATATTTTTTTGACATTTATTTATTTATTTTACAAAACAAACATCTTAAGAACTTTATTCCAAACAAACTACACACCAAAATAATGTACAACACAATTCAACAAGACAATTAACTTTGAAGAGGGAAAGGAAGAAGTTTAAAAGTTTCAAAAATATTTTTTAATGAAGAATCTTATGATAAAAAATTAAAAATTAAATTCCACAAATAATGTTAACATTATACTATAAATAGTAAGATGAGCTACTACAGAAATAACTGAAAAGACGCCTGACCAACAACAAACCATTTTTGTTCATGGATGACCATGATTTAATAGAGAAAAAATCAAATAAGCAAGCTTGCATGTATTTCTCATAATTCTTTGGATTAAGTGGACATTCAAAATTGCATACAAATATGAACATAATCATCTACGTTTTTTGAAAATGAAAAGAGCCTTAAAAGAAAATTAAGAGAAGAAACCGTAAAAACTTCAAAAGTAAAAGAAAGAAAACAGAAAAGAAATGAATTGTCCAGATTATGAAAATTTACGACTGGTTGACATAGCATGTGAATGTCACAATGAATTTGTTCAAAAAACAAAATACATTTCAAAAAAAAGATGCTCAACAGAAGAAACTTACGATGAGGAATCCATCTATTATGAAAGAGGAGGGTTAGTTGTTTGTAATGACTCAAGTGGTAGAATTTGTGTGGAGTATAAAAAAAAGACAGATGATGGTGATGATAATAAATCTCAACACGGGTCAAATAATTCACCAGAGATAGAACAAAATGATATCACAGAAAAAATTGAATCTTGTTTTCCGTATAAAATCAAAAGAAAAGGTGGCCAATGCTCAGCCGCTTTATATCCATATGAAATAATCAGAAAATTTCCATTTGATGATATTTGTAAGTGCAATGAGAATAAAATTTTATCTGAAGAAGTTAAGCCTGAAGAAGTTAAGCCTGAAAATTCTCCCGCATCACCTACCACAAATAAGCCAACAGAGAATGACAAAAATAAAAAGACATCTTCAAAAAGTGCCAGGTCAACAGATGGAACAAGCAAATCATCGTTAAAAAAAATGATACAAAAAAAGTTTGGTAAACGGATTATGAGTTTGAACAAAGATAAATCATCTGTCACATCTGAGGATATGTGTAATTGTTTTCCTGACTTAAACTGTCAATGCCCAAAAACAGGAGAGTATAAGGTATTGAAGAATGAATACGAAATACTAAGGGATCGTCCATTAAAAACAGAATATCTTGCCAAACCTTGTATGCAAACTTTTTTTAATCGATGCCAAGAGGAAAATGGCATACATTCATCATTAGATGATGCTATGAAAGAAAATGATGAACATCAAACCGTGTTTTTAGATTCCGGCACAAAGTGTTTCTATAATAACACACCTTGCTGCCCATGTCCAAAACGTGATCCTGATCCAGACCATCCAAGATATCTTTCAACAAAAGTAAATGTGACAGACCTTATGAAACAATTACTTACCTTTCATTTCAATAGAAGTTATATGAGTCAATATTACTCACGAGTACAAATGGATAATAGTGATGAACCTTGTGAAATCTGCCTAGACAAGATAATGCAAGCTGCTGGGTGTGTGGGCTCCTGCTGCAAATGTCCAAAACCAGTAGAGTTGAAATCTTGCAACTGCCCACAATCATCAGAATCTGAATCTGAATCTACTTCAGAGGATGATCAACATGAGTCTAGAACTGAACAATTGGAACAAAGTATTTCTCGTATGCAACAAAATAAAGAAGGAAAGCTTGAAAATAAAAACATATATCTTAATGAAAATTGTGGGCTGTTATTTCAAGAGTTGGCAAAGCAAACAAGTAGTCCAACTAGACAAAACAAATGTGATTGTTCCAAAATTAATTATAAAACTGATTATCAATGCTACAATGTAATGTGTACCAACACCCCTGGCTATAATGAGATAAATGTGTGTTCAACATGCAATTTCTGGAATGAAAATAACTTGAGCTCAGACGAACAAGAGATACAGGAGGGAACTCACTGGGATAAGCAAAAGAGAAAAATTACTAGGTACCGTATAATTAAACAACAGCAACTTATTTTATAATAGTTATGTAATTTATACAATAGATACACAAAAAGTTGAAGAGAAAAAATTAAAAATTAAACGAATTGCTCTTAATATAAACGCCTTTCTTGTTTTCTAGAGTGTAGCCTCTGCTAATGAAAATTATTTATAATACTTATTACATAATTAATTATTGATTATAGAAGTGCAGAGGGCTGGCGATATCATGGTCATCGCCACATAAATAACACATACAATATTAATCATTTTAAATGCAGCTACTTAATTTTTTCTTATTTTTGGAACATTATGATTTTAGAGCTGTTGAACCATTGACGGAGGAAATAGACACACGGTCAGATTGTGAAGCAGACCCATTTCGAAAGCGAAATATGTACATTGTCAAGTTACCAATCTTGAATATTGAATTGGATTTAGAATTCACAAATAATTTTTTTCCAGGTTCAAGGGATTCTTCAGCAAAATGAAACTGGATTGGCCCAAAAAGAAAAATACCTTAAAAAGCACAGAGCATAAAGAAAATTAACATTCAAAATGTCAAGTTCCTTCCACTCTTTAAGCTATAACTTGTCTTTACAAACAAAATACATTTTTCAGTTCACTAGTTCATTTATTTCCATCCTATATAGCCTTAGATGAATTATACTTTTCTCATAAAATTATTTATTTTTATTGAACTTTAGTTAGGACATTGATTTCTGTTTAAGAAGAAGAAAATAACTTTTATTCTAGGGCTTTGGGCCCCTTGAATAACAAAGAAGTACAAATTTTGCAAAATTCATGCAAAATGATAAGATATTAAAAATTTCAATTTTCATAAAAATTGTGAGATTTAAATGTAATAGTATAAAAATAAATTAAACATGCTAAATTAATAAGGAGAAAAAGTTAACATAAATGACCAAAGCATACCATGGTTAAATTGAAGGAGCAGGAGGTAATAAAACAAGATGGGACTTAAAGATGAAAAGGGTTGTGGCAAGGAGAATGGAATGAGGGGAAATATGTAGAGGTTGCAGAAACGGATAAGGAAGAAGCAGTGGAATTGTATGAGGAAGTAAGATCAGAAAGGCAGAATTAATGTAGCAAGAGTGTATAGAAGACTTAAATATTAAGAGATTATTAATATAGGAAGGGAAATGGGAAGAAACTTTTTGATAGAGGAAGGATCCAAGAAAGTATAGCCTGCAATTGGAGGGTGGTACAGCCATTTTCAAACCACAATACATATTAGACACATGAGATCTCTTTAGGTAATTATATGAACCGAGCAAAGCAGTTTATGATCCTCTTGAGTCTGTTAAAAAGCCTGCTGGTGAGTCCGCTGTAGACCAAATCGCATAATCAAAATGAGGAAACAAGGGAGAAGACCAAGGGTTTGCGGGTGCTTAAGAGTTGGTCTGTATGATGGACATTTTTTTTTTTATGTCTTATAATGTAGTAGTAAATTGTTGTTATTCCACAGTATTCCTTATAAAATTAGTGCTTTATATATATTTATATTTTAAGTATTAGACTTTACATTACAAAAACCTCTTCTAAAATAATGTGTATAATAAGTCAATAATAATTAATAACAAAATTAATAATAATAAGCCCTTCCAGGCTGGGGAAAGTTAAAGAGTTAGAAAAAGCTAGAGGGGACGTATATATTTTTATATTTGCATATGTTTTTTTCCAGGGTATTTGAACTGTGACGTTATATGAACACCCAGGATGCTTTATTTCCCCTGGGGGTTTACAACAGCAATGGTCACACCATCCGTACCTTACGGTGATGAACATCATATCAATGACTAAACCCAATTAACAAACCTGACCACTGATTATATGAAGAAAAAATGGAAACATCTACAATATATTCATTTAATACATCATCGAGACTAAATATCAATATTTTATGACACTAAATAGATTTAAGTAGATACTCATAAAAGTATGATCGTATCAATGAAAAAATGCTATGAATAATGACAATCGCTATAAAAATAAAATTAATAAAACATATGTTTATTTCTGGCATTATGAAAATACTTCTAAGAAATACTTTTTTTTATACTAGAATAGGTCTACTGAAGCAAAGTATTATTTAAAAGTACAACTTTTTGTCAAACTATAAATGGTAAGTTGAATTAATGCTGATGAAATCACAATTTATAATCTGCAAATAATAAACGTCTGTCCATTACAGACTACAATTAAAGAAGCGATAAAACGTTGGGAGGCTGCAAACCAAAGGCCAATCAAAGATGAAGTCGAGGTTGGTTTCCAGTTTCAGATGCCACCAATTGAAAAACTTGATAACAATCTAAGCATGTTGGAAAATTGCGAGTAAGTTTTATAAATTTCTATAATTTGCACGATGTACAATTGAAATTTCTAGGAAACTGTATTTATCATCAAATCTTATGGACAAACTCTCTGGACTTCCTCGTTTGAAACACCTTAAAATTTTATCAGTTGCCCGATGCAAACTGTTGACTTTATCAGGAATTGTAAGTCTAAAACAAAATAAAGTTTTCTCTTATATTCAGTCATTATAATTAATATTTAAGGAGCATGTAAATGAGACATTAGAGGAATTATGGGCATCTTATAACATGATTGTAAAACTCAGTCCGTTGGTTAGCTGTAAACAGCTTAGAGTACTTTACTTAAACTACAACTATGTCAGAGACTGGGCAGAAATTGCAAAACTTGCTGAACACCAATTCCTCAAAGATGTGGGATTTATTGGTTTGTTTTTGCTCAACACTTTTTCACATAAGGGAATTAACTAACTACAAAGCAATTGCAGACAACCCAATTTGTAAAAATCTTGATAAGGAGGCCTGGCAAAATAAAATGATGAAGACTCTTCCTCGAATAAACCGTTTAGATGGAGAATTTCTTGCAACTGAAGACGAAGCGAAAGATGCAAAAGAAATTAAACAGGCAATTAAACATGGTACAGAAATCCCACCTCCGCCACTTCAAGGTACCACATCAACAACAAACACTTCAGCCCAGCCCTCAGCTCCCTCAACTGCTGATGCAAACCCTACTTGAAATTTTATTAAAATAAAGTTAAGATAAGCTTGCATTTTGTGTGTACTATGTATTATGGAGACAAATGTGTTATCTACTAGTTTTAATACTTTTATACAAAATTGACGCATTTCAGTTCAAATTGAATGAACAAAATGATTGTTACAAAAATTGTTGGCTAGAAATGATGAAGGTGCGTCGAGTATGTAGATTCATTTTTTGGTTCTTCTCAGAGATTTGTTATTTACCATGATCCAGATTTCGACTCTGAACTCCATTTATTAGGACAACTTTGTGTTCATGCATGATAATGCTCGACGTTGTCATTCATCATTTGGATTACCAAGATAAATTAGCCAGCACTTACTCCTGAAATGAATAGAACACTTACGGGATATAGTAAAGACATGGGTTATACATCACTCACCCCCTCCAACCATTGAACAGCTTCAAACCATTCTTGTTGAAGAATGGGAGTCTGTTTCACCTGTCAAAATCCGGTCCCTTATTTACTTGATGCCTAGGAGACTTACCCTCTGCTAGCCCAGAGGAGGTAATACCCATTATTAAGAACAAAAATAGGTAATAAATTGTTAGAATTAATGCTGGGTGAAGATCGCAAACTCATGCTGAACATTGGGTCTGTCTTCACTTCTGGGTTTGTTGAACAACTCAAACTCATTTCGGCATTCTGCCAAAGGAATTGTTCTTCGCAAGTGAAGACAGACCCCATTAAGTGACCCAAGGCAGTGGGTAAGTCCAACACCATGGTTGGGTTGAGGGGGTTACTGTCAACATCTAGGTCAATTCAGCACCCAATGTATGCAGTTCCAAACCCATTCGTACTCATGTTTGTTCTTAAATACATTCACTCCTATTTACATACCATCCATTTATAAAATACAAAATATATTTAAAACAAAAATAAAAATATAAAAAATCTTATAAAAATGTCGTGGTGGGATCAGGACAGTTGTTTCAGGTCTTTGAGATGAAATAAAAATAACCACAGCAATTAAATACAAATGAACACCCTTTTTTTTCTATTTTTTGAAAAAATAAAAATGAACAAAAACAGAATAAATTCCCTTTTTTTTAAATTAAAATAAAATAATACAAAATAAGTATCTATTCTATATTTAAAAATGAACAATACTGAGTAATGCCTTTTTATAAAAAATTAAGAAAACAAAAAAACATTGTGCTGGCAATAATAAAGAAAATCAATTAACAAAAGTGAACAAATGAAAATAAAATGTTCTCTGGACAAGTGATTACCCTGCAGCTCGTTGAAAGTCCAAGGCAAATAGTTGTCGAACTCGTATGAAGCCGGTTGTGCAGTCCGATGTCCAGAAAGATCTTTTCTCTCCTTAAAAAAGGCTGCTGAATCCAGAAAACGAAAAATAACGAGAGCGCAAACCACAAAAAAAGAAGCCACAATTTGAATGTGGTTATACATTCAATTAGGGTGATGGAGGATTATATTCCTCCATCACCATACAACTACGTAATTGGGGGTCGATGAAGCACTCGATATTCCAACATCAACACTCTCACATCACTCATTCACGCTAATAAATGCAGTCACTCTCAATACAACCTTTACACATATTGTGCAACTAACTTAATTGGGGGGATGGGGTACTCGATATTCCGACATTGACCCTCTCACATCACACATTCACGCTAATAAATGCATTCACTCTCGACACAAGCTAGGTATATACAACTATTATTACTTTATTTTCCTTCAAATATTGAAACAGGGAACCCAAATACTCTCTGCCATGCTCCAGCACAATTCTTGAACAGTTGCATTTCTGCTCACACTCTAAGGAGCCAAGGGACTGCACCCTTCAATTAGGTAGGACATAAATAAATTTATTTTTAAATAATGCATATTATAAAATCCTAACAGAAAATTTGGACCTACCTTCATATAATTAAGGCGTGCCTATCATGGTATTATTGGTAGGTAATTGGTAATCATTACAGACTATTCCAATTATTAAATAATTTTTTGTAGTTTCGTTTCTTCAAATGACATGTAATGGCACGAACTCAGCTTTTGTAAATAAATTCGAATCTGAGAAATAAAAACATTTGAGGAATTGCACCTGTGACGGTTGGTTACCTGTGGATACGGATTATGATACCAAGTTGAGCATAAGCGTACATCTCTCATATAGGCGGGAATTTGTTGAGAGATAACAATTTTTGTTACTTCACGGCTCTTGCTACATTTTCCCTTTTTAGTCTAAAAGATGACAAACGATAGGAAAGAGAGCGAAGAACGTGTTCTGAAGCTGAGGAAATGCTTCAAGTCCAAGCTAATCTGGGAAAACGAATTGATCGGGTTCCATGAAGAGGCGAGGCAACTGCTTGGTACGATGGAAAGGACTGTCGTCTCCGGGGAGAGCGACTCTGTGCTTGTCATCGGGCCAAAAGGCTGCGGAAAATCCTTGGTAACCGATAAACAATGTTTTTTCAAAAGAATCAGTTCTTACTCGTACTATTTACTGTATCGTAAGTACTGCTTGACGGTACAGATGAACATACCGAACATATAGAGTATAATGATTATCAGTACGATTATTCAATATTTTTTTTATAGTCTCGTATTTTCAAAATTACACGTAATGTTACAAACTCAGCTTTTATAAATAAATTCGAATCGGAGAAAAAAAGTGAAGAATTGCACCTGTGACGGTTGGTTATCTATGGATACGGATTGTGATAACAAGTTGAGCACTAGCGTAGATCTCTCATATAGGCGGGAATTTGTTGAGAGATAACAATTTTTGTTACTTCGCGGCTCTTGCTACCTTTTCCTTTTTAGTCTAAAAGATGACAAACGATAGGAAAGAGAGCGAAGAACGTGTACTGAAGCTGAGGAAATGCTTCAAATCCAGGCTAATCTGGGAAAACGAATTGATTGGGTTCGATGAAGAGGCGAGGCAACTGCTTGGTACGATGGAAAGGACTGTCGTCTCCGGGGAGAGCGACTCTGTGCTTGTCATCGGACCAAAAGGCTGCGGAAAAACCTTGGTAACCGATAAACAATGTTTTTACAAAAGAATTAGTTCTTACTCGTACTATAAGTACTGCTTGATGGCACAGATGAACATGCCGAACATATAGAATATAATGATTATCTATATATGATTATTCAATTTTTTTTTTGAAGTCGCATTTTCAAATTACACGTAATGTTACAAACTCAGCTTTTATAAATAAATCCGAATCGGAGAAAAAAAGTGAAGAATTGCTCCTGCGACGGTTGGTTACCTATGGATTCGGATTATGATAACAAGTTATCACACACACAACTTTTTTAATGCACTGCTCAACAAAAATTCTTTTGCAATTTTACAATTTTTGTTCATATTTTTTGACTACTTTAAAAATGATGTAATCTTTAATTTAGACAGATCATTTTTTGTTACAAGAATTCTACAAACACGCTGTAAAGATGCATCTTTTCTAAGCTACAAAGGAGAGCGACAGCAAACAGTATTGAGCACTGTCACATATCAGAGCGTATGCCAACAGCCTTGTACAGAGGTGCAGGTTGGGAACAGAAGCTAAAAAGTAAGGTAAAATCCATTCTGGAGCAAGTCCAGAGAATAGCCTTTTTGAGAATATCAAAGGCATGTAGAACATCTCCCACACATGCCCTGCAGGTAGCTTCTGCTCCAACAATCGACCTCATCCTCCAAGATAAAATAGCATTTCACCAACTGAAAACAGGAAAGGAAATTTTATAATCAAATCTAACAGATGCTTCGAGTACCGCCAAGAAACCAGTTTTGAGGCTTCATCAATTGTTGGTTGGATCGAAGACATGGCAGGACAGATGAAACATCAGCGCAAAAGGCAGACTAACCATGAGTTCTTCCTTAGGATTAAATTTCGATGGTTCCAGACATATCACAAATAACGACAGGAAATAGGAACTTTAAATTGTTCATCAATCAGTTCCTTACAAAAACTCCTTTATGTACAAACTGTTGGGATTGAGATGATGCCACATATAAGCTTCTGAATCGTCCTCTTTGTGGGTATGAGAAAGAACTTTAAAGGTTCTCCTCTGTCTTAACTGGCTACAGCTTCAAAAACATTTGTTTAAGAAAGGAGCACTTTTGAGCTGCTAAAACATTTGAACCGGGTGGCAGTATTTCAATTTTTTTTAGCTAATTTATTATTAATTAACTTTTTCAGTTATATTAATTTAATTATTATTAACATACCATAGATACATGTTAGTAACATTTATTTATGTGCTAATTTATCAACACTGCTTAAAAAAAAGTGCACACATTGAAATTTTGATTTCCTTTTTGATTTGACATTTTGATCAATTTTTTTTTTTTTTTTTGCGTTATGAACTATGCATATTAGCCAAGTGACAATTCATATATGTGTGTTCAAATTTGGGGGGGTTATTGTGAAAAAAGGGCCAGAGGAGACGGTGGGAATCGAACCCACGACCGCGGCGTGAGAGTCTCTCATGCTAACCACTCGGCTACCGCGGTCCCCGTTGAATATTTTAAAAATGATTTAATACTTGTAATTAGATATATAATTTTTTTTCACCTTTTGGGCAAGAGTTAAAGTCCTACAGCTGTAAAGATGCATCTTTTCTAAGCTACAAAGGATAGCAAAAGCAAACGGGATTCAGCTAAATGGCTCTCTCTATCACATTCAAGAGCGTTTGCCCATTACCTCGTACTTGTAGGTTGAGAACAGAAGCTAAACTGTAAGGGGAGATCCATTCTGGAGCAAGAGCACAGTGTGTAGTGTGAGTGTATAAGTGCTAATTGTGTTTATCATTTCTGGGAAATCATGTAGTGTTGCTTGAAGGTACTACATTAAACATTCTTATTGGGAGTTGATTTGAATGATAGAAACAAATTATAGTTGTTTTACAATTGTCAGTTTTTTTAAATTGTGCTTTCCTTGATTTGATAAAAGAAATCGTTTCATTTATGAAATTCAAAACATAAGACAGCTTTTTAGCCTAATAACGCTGACAAAGGAGTACAGTATAAGTAAAGTTAAGTAATTCCATGCTGTTGGGTTTAATATCCAACTACCCATTAGGTGTTGTGGATGACAGGTCAAACCACTTTACAACGCATTTTTCAGGCTATGATCAAACAAAATACCATAATTTCTGGTGGATTCAAACTGGCAAATCGAGTCAGGACACCCTCAGCCACTTTGATTCTCACCAACCCCTGTAATTTTTTACCTATACCTCCTCAAAAAATTATTGAAAACCAAAGTGAGCCTTGGCTGAAGCTATAAAACTTTCTGTGATAAATAACTTACCGCTCACAGGTGTAAACCCAGCCTAACAACCAAAGTACAGATTGGTCACCCCATAGATCACACAGAGAAATCTCAGTTATATTTACACTGTTTGAGTGTGTTGGGCACGTGTAATTTGTTTAAATTACAGGCTAATGTCAACATTAGCCTGTTATTTTTGTGCATAATTAAATGGTTAAAATGTATTATTAAATTTATTCTGCAGTTAATTTTCAACAACTGTTGTAACAAATCTTGTTGGTTTCAGTTGGTTACAACCTGCCTGGATAGACTAGGGGACAAGGTTGACAGTGATGATTACATTGTCGTAAAATTGCATGGTCTTATTCACACCAATGACAACTTAGCACTTAAAGATATCATAAGGCAAATGCATTTAGATGAACTTGGCGATGGAATAGTAACTGGATCTTTTGCAGGTAAAACTACCCTTACTTGATTTTTATATATATTTATATATACATTTCACCATATATTTTTATATTATATTTCGTTGATTTTTTCCTCAGATAATTTATTGTTTGTGCTTCAGAGTTTGAAGTCAGGAAACAGACAGGCTACTAAGCCAATACTATTCATTTTAGAAGAATTTCAGCTTTTTTGTTCCCACAGGAATCAAACACTTCTGTACAACTTATTTGATATTGCTCAATCTGCTCAAGTAATGAAGTTCAACTTTTTAAAATCTTTCAATTGTTATTTTCTAATGTAACTTTACAGGCACCAATTTGCGTAGTTGGGTTGACATGTCGCATCGACATAACTGAGATGCTTGAAAAACGCGTCAAATCACGTTTTTCTCATAGGCAGATATTTCTCTTTCCCAGTAATAATTTCTCAGACAGGATTGAGAGGATAAAACATTATTTATCTTTCGCCATGCATCCCCGTTATTTCAAAATGTTTGGAAAACGCTTTGTATCAGATTGGAATGAAAATTTGGCAGACATTCTTGATAAGCCAAAAGTGCAGAGACTGATTAGGCATCAATTGGAAATCGACGCGAGTGAAAAAAGGCTTAAAATGTGGATTGTGAGTTGAATTGTTATTTTAAACAAAAATTTAAAATAACAAAATCTAAAATTTAAATACAAATCATTTGCAGTTATTGGTCATTAGCAAATTATCTGAATCAACACCAGATTTTACTGTTTCTATGTTTGAAGAAGTTTTGGAGAAATTGGGCTCTGATGCAAAAGTAGAACTGTTAAAAGATTTATCAGTTTTAGAACTCTGCTTGGTAAGTTTTAAAAATAAATAACTTTATATAATTATAGTTTGAATTATAAATCTTTGTGAAAGTAGCAAGGCTTATGGTATAAAATATCAGATCAACCAGCAAAATGCAATGAGTTTATATTTGTTTTTGTCCCCCCCCCCTCTAGGTTATAGCAGCAACTCATCATAATGAGATTTACGATGGTGAGCCTTTTAATTTTGAAATGATAGTCAAACAGTATATGAAATTTGCAGCCAACAATTATTCAGTCATTACCAATAGGCAGATTCTGTACAAAGCATTTGAAAGATTGAAAGTAAGTCAGCACATAAAAAAACTTAGGAAAAATAGTTTTAATACAAACATGCTTTCAGGACCTTGAGCTGATAGCACCACTGAGCCGAACGAAAAGCTGCAAAAAAGAATACCAACTTTTCTCACTGCTTGTGACCTCGCAACAAATGAAAGAAGCCATCAACACATTCCAGGGCCTACCAACTGATGTATCCCAGTGGGCTACAAGCAGCTTAAATAGTTTATAATGTATAATTCACCTTAATTGTATATATATTTATTTATTTATCTTTTACAAATTGGTCCTGAATTAGCGTTAAATATAACAAAGTACCTGTTTTTATGATTTATTTTTTTCCATGGCCATGTCTCAAATTGGTACTGGCAAAAGGCACCTGCCCCAGGAAAAGGCTTGCACAAAGGGCAACCCCAACCATCATAGGCTCTCTCCCAAATCTAACAAAATTCTCTTACAGGAGCACTCGCGGCTTTGAAACTAGGGTACTTCTCCCATGAGAGGTCGAAGATTTATTTGTGATTGATACATTGATTTATTTTCACTATTGGCTTTACATTATTAATTTCATTTTCTTTATATAAGTTCACCATTTCTTAAAAGTTAGTAAGTCTGTAAAATGCATCGTGGCACTTGGCAGTGATATGCAGATATGCATCCGCCATACGCTGCTGTGTCCCACACAAGGCACCTGTTTTCAACAATCGGATTATTTTCATTATCTCTTTTTAATTTGTGGACAGACAATTGGAAGAAGGAATAATTTGACTGCTTTCCACGTTTATTTCAAACATTCATGGAATAATTTTCTTTTTATTATTATTTGTTAATAATAAGATCAGAACACTGATTTTTCATTTAGTTATGTCATGGATTCAATTTGTAGCTGTTAAAACATTTTGATGATCGTCTTCAAAGGGAAGAATCTGATAGAGCAGCTGCAATATGATACATTTTCAACTGCATCATCTTTTCACCTTTGGGAAAGAGGTTGTCCTACAAACCACTCTGTAAAAATTAGAGACAAAACGCAACTTTATAAACTACAAACGATAGCGACAGCAAACAGGATTGGGCCAAAAGGTTCTCTCTATCTCATACAAGAGCACGTATTTGCCAGTTGCCTCGATGGAGATGCAGCTTGGGAACAAAAGCTAAAGCATAAGGGGAAAATGCAAGTGCACACAATACCTTATTTACTATTTGGATTAAAGGAGTGAAAAAAACTGATAAATATGTTGAAGGTGAATTCATAAATTAATTTATTCAATAACAGTAATAAAGTTATAAACATAACGGTTTTAATAAACTGAAGCTAACTGCTCTAATTAACATTCCAGGTTGTAAATAAGAAGTGAAGAGAGTAGTTCATGAATTGAACTTATTTGAAAAAACAAACAAAAAACGTGTCATAAACTAACATACATACAAAAACGTTTAAAAAATTGCTTAAAAATTAAATCACATTTGGTTTAAATAGCGCTTACGATACACCATTCTAAATACTAACACTACTAATACGGTTAAAAGACATGGAATGCTCACATCAACAAACTAATAACTAAATAGTAAAAAATAAACAACAATTATATATAAAGGAGATATTATGTGTTTTTATTAGGCACGGCTACAGCTGACAAAAGGCTTAGGTAAGAAAGTCTAAAATCCACCTATATCTAGGGACAAATTTCTTTTGCCAACACACGCTTTCCAACGTTAAAAACTATTTGGTAACAATCGGTTGCAGCACGAAGAAAACAGGAATCTATAGGGTGCTATGTGGTATAGGTTAAAAATTAGAAATGAAGAGGTCATTTTGTAGCCACTCCTATTTCCTCTCTCCCTTATGCCTTTATTTGACTAGACAACTCCAACTCGATATCCTGAATTGGCTCCCTCCAGTAGACGAACTGGGAGAAATCCTCACTTGAAAACGGCTTGTTAGATGGAAACATTTGGTCAACAAGTTGAGTCATATTAGTATACCTGAAAGAACAATTTTAATCATAAACAAACAAAAAAATATAAATACCTAGTCTAGTTATTTAATTAAAAAAAAAAAATTCAACACTGGATGAGGGCATTTTCTTGGTGTGTTTGCCTCAACCAAATAGTAAGTTTTAAAATAGTTGATTATGGATTAATTTGTTTTTGAATTTTAAAAATCGCAATGCAGGCAATGTAGAAATGTTTTTATTTATTTTTTGTGCTCGTTTACTTAAGCAGGTGGAATGTCTCTAAATATCAAAACAATTTAAAAAATAATAATTGTACAACCCATTTACAATTTTTAATCTCTAATCTTAAATTAAAAATAAAATGAGGTTAAAAACCATCAACAATAGGAATCAATTTATTAGATTTAATTTAACATGATGCAGGTGCGGGATTATGCAAAGATTCTGAAAAATCTCAACACGTTCATTTAAAGTTTGGTGCAGTTTGAAATGTCAACTATTTCAACCCGTGACATTCATGAACCCTAACCATCCCTTAGTTGCACTTAAAATTTTGATTAATCATGACTTCATTTAATTAAATTACATATGTTTTTGAACAATAAAAATTGGGTATAAAAATAAGAAATTTGATTAGTTATGTTTATTTATATGAGAGAGCCTAAACACATTTACCACAGCAAAAATTGAGCTTTCCAGTCCATCCTCAGGTACAGCTATCACAGATACATGCCCTTCTAAATTTATAAAACCATTATAGTGCTAAGAGGGGGGTGTTTCTTAGGAATACTGCTTCTTTTTATCTCAGTTCCCACGGATTGATTACATCATTTTTGGTAGCAACAGAATCACATGTATTCAGGCTCTCGTTTACAGATTAAAAACCTATAAGGGCTCTGTTGTGAATGCATTAATGCAACTTTAAGACCTGCTATTTTGCTTGGTAAAAGTGAAAAAGACACACAGATGATCTATTTACATATTCAGTGGGGCGATAGCAAATTGTGCTGATGTCACCGTTGCCCGCAAACCTTAATCTCTGATGTAGAGCCAGTCAAAAAGAAGTGTCAGGCAACAGTCATGTAAATAGAGCCAGTGGTTGTAGGATGGGATACTGATGTCAAACCATCGATGATCGATGTTATCTTTTATATATTTATTATTAAAGCAAAAGAAAAAAATTAAATAATACAAACATGAAAAGTTGGATAAAATTCAACTGGATTGAAATACTTTAAACCCTACTCTTAGGAGGCATAGTTTATTTATTAAATATGTATTATATTATTATTGTATTATATTAAATACAGGGTTTGGTTTGCTGAAACAAAAACAAACCTGTGGACTGCCACTGCACAATTATATACATGCACGAGCATGACTGGCACTGGCGCCAAATTGGAGAAGTGGCAAAGCGTTACTCTTTTCATTTCATCGACTCATCCAATAGTTATTATCCTGGGAATATGTTTAATAATTTTGAGTCGTATCATTTTAGTGTGTTGGTGTAGATTTTTGAGATGATGTCCTCGGCAACACCTTTGGGTAGGGTAGTGGGTTGTTGTCTATGGATTCTGATGGTGGCATTGCATAGGGAGGGAAACAAACCACAGCTTGTCTTAAGCTGGGTTTCCATTATGCGAAAAATCACTTGTGCAACTAAGCGTGAGAATCACTTGCAAAACGTCATCACGGGTTAACCATTTCCACAAGGTGAAATATTTTGCTACCTAGAGGCAAAACAAGGTGAGCCGTCAGTTTGCACAAGACCAACATGCTGTTTATAAATAACAATAAACACTAACTGTTACAACAGCATTTTCAACCATGTCTTTATCCCATTTTGATTATTCATTTCCTTCCATGAGGATCTATTAATCTTATTATGATGTTTTATCTTTAGCATCCCACAAAAATCAGTAGTTGTGATAGGTCGACTGATGATTCAGATAAGTTGAATCCCTAGATAATTCCTCCTGGTTTGTTCTCATACTTGAGACAAGTGTGTTTACACAGAGAGAAACAAACACTGCAAAACACTTTGATGCACACTAAAAAACTGACAGACAGCCGGCTCACTCTAAAACATCCTTGCACCAAAAGTTTCGCAGTCCCGGCTAGGAAGCCACAACTGATTTTGCGCAGTGGAAACCCAGCTTTAGGTCAGGCAAAGTGGAAATGAAACTTCCTGGAGCTCACATGGAAGTCGTAGTTATGCAGGAAGTCTCTGGCAAAGATTGGAACTTCTTAACTGAAATGTGCCTCATACCTGCTTTTCTTGAAGAATCACTAGGCACTAGGATAACATCCCGAATCTGTATGATATGGAACTGAACACATGGAAACCTATGATTATGTTGCTCTGCAACGGGCGCTGAACAAGCTGCCACGGAAAGGGACAAACCGTTTTTCGCGATTGTGTGTATGTCTCTGGCTGGACTTATAATTGGTATTCTAGAAAGGTGAATTTAATGCCCAATATTCTGAGCTTTTAGTTGGGTTGGAATTATGGTTAGGGTTATTTCAATTACATCAACAGTTGTAGGGAAGGGCGCGTTACCAAAAACTCGCATACACGTAAAAAAAAATTCTTCAGGTCACACTTATGAGAATACGATAATCACAAAATCAGCAGCATTCAGCTCATTGACAGGCTACGTATAGTAAAGTTCACCCTTAATGACTAACTAAATATTTGTTTAAAACTGACTGTTTTTCACGACACTGCACCTATATCATAATCGGCTCATTCTGATACAGGTAGTAAACATATAACCTGCTCATTTTACATATCCTGGTACAAGTAGTAAAAATGTAACTGGCTCTTTTACAGACCTACTAATTAGTTAATTCAATGGGGTCAGCTCAATTTGTCACAGCCCTTTCAATGTTGGCTGGGATTTCAATTCCCGGGCAGCAAATTTAAAAAAAAATTCTTATGCATTATGCAGCCGTCTGTCGGGTTGGAACACTTTTGTTTTCTTGAAGGCCAGTCAGCATTGAATGTGTCAAAGGCTGAACAATTTTATATTCAGCGTTGATCAAAAAAGATTTCTTAATTTATTAATATAGTTTACTAAACATTGAATGTTAGTTAAACCAAGACAAACCTTTAGGACTGCATAGATTGTACTTTTATGTTCGTCAGCACATTTAGGTCAATCCAGAAGTTGTCTAAGACAAATTTGTTATAAAGGTATTCAAGAAGAAATTCAACATAATATCCGAAAACAGGGGAGCAAGTTGACTCATTTAATTTAAAATTGCCTTGGGCAAGATTGTAAATAAATAATTTAAACGTAAATATTACTTTGAAATATTTGTTAATTAAATTTAGTTTTGTTTATTATTATTCCACAAAATGTGATTGTTTCGTGATCTACAATACTAAATTAGAAAAATATGGGAAATGTGCTTAATCGATCTATCATGACATGCCGCCAGGGACCATTACCTCACCTCCCACAGCAAATATTATTTTTCTCAACCTGGTTTAGCAGCTTTAAGCAATAACCTTTTCTTGAATTACTTTTATAATGTTAGTAATAAAGCAAATGAGTCAAAGCAAAGACATCATGCTCGTTAGACAGCATCTTCTTATAACAGCCATGCCTTCGTGTTGTTATATTCAGACTGATTTAATTTCTCAATCAGGAAAGAGGGTTGGCCATTTTCAGGCCTCTTACCCATTAAATAACAGAGATTTCATTCATATTCGAAGGCACATGGCTGATGCTTTCCTCTGGTATGTCAATGGTTGATGATTTTGCTGGGAAGATATCGTTTACAATGGAACTCTGCCTAGAATAACTAGAAAAACAAAATTTGCCCTTTTCGATTAAAACCACCTTGCTATAAAAGTTATAACAATACTCAGCGACCACCGATATTACTTAACATAAAACCCTATTTGCAAAACTAATAAATAACCACATAAGAATGTTTTAATTTAAAAAAAAAAACTTTCTTAGAGTGATTTTAAGTTGACTAATTTTGCACAACATTCATGCAAACCAGGCCCGATTAGTTTAACATTTATCTCTGTTTTATTAAAATTAATATTTTTCCCTTCCTTTTTTTGCCCTTATAGATTGATTAGCTACTTACGTAGATTGGAATGTCTGTGTTAGCTCATGCTTCAATTCTCCCCTGTGGTTAATTGTGAAAATCCTAAATATGGGAACTCCAACTGCTTGATAAGCCCAAACGTCCTTTAAAAAAAATAAGTAAATAATTAAAATAAAATAGAAATTAAGCAAATGTCAGTTTAAATTTAATTGACTTAACTTACATTAATTTTATTGCCATAGCCAGCATAGAATGGTTTGATGTGAGAGGGGAATAAAGCTTGTATGTCTTTTAAGCAAGAAATCTTGAATTCTTCTGGTTTCTTTTCAATCACTTCACTGTAATAATTTGATAAAATAATTGAACAAATTCAGGAAGATAAAAATAAAAACACGACTTACGTGTGGAATGCATTCAATAGACTTGTTGGATTAAGGAGCATAGGACCCTCAGGAAGACCCAGGTCTTCTTGTTTAATGGATTTGAGATATTCTCTAGTTAGCCTGGACTGGCCTGAAACAATTTACGACTTAATAAGTTATGATTAGTTCTGTTTCAGGAGTATCTAGGCTATAAAACATGCAGCATTTCCATCATCAGGTACCCTAAATCTTACAATCATTCCAGTGATCAGAAATGTCATGCGAAATGGACAAAATAAAAACGAAGAAGCTTACCAATTGCTCTAGCTGATAAGTATAAAAGTTTGTATCCGTTGTCCTTGATCTTCGTGAAGAGTTTTGCAACACCGCTCTGTGCCCAGTCTTTGCCCACGATAGGCAGAATGTGACCAAGGACGTCAGACCTGAGAAAAATATTTCAATAAAGTTTGCCTTATTACACTATGAATAGTTACTACTTACTTTGTAATTGTTCCATCAATATCAGAAATGACAATTTTATCATCGTAACGCCAGCAGAATAGATAGCATGAACATTTGCTGGTTCCTTGATAAGCTGTGGTCACGCTGAATACAATTTCATTTGCACCTGGTTGTAACTTAAGGCTTGCCTTTAGATAAAATTAATATTAATAAAATTGTAAAGACAAAGTAATGTAATTTTAAGAGTTCTGAAATATTATGAATTTAAAAATGTAAGATTGATACATCTTATCCTATTATAAAAGGATAGTTCCTACTTAGTTAAATATATACCTAAATCTTTTTTTTTCTTCTAAACCTTTTCGTTGAAAACAACTAACTGTGAGTAGGAACTATCTTTTCATAAAGATTGAACTCACTCCACTATTTATCATTTCTAAGATTGATACATACCAATTTTTATTTATCTTACAATATAAGAAATTCAGAACCCAAAGTAACTTATGCATAACTTACTATTTGTTGTGAAGTAAGCCTAAGTGTCTTACGATATTTTTCAGAGTTGTACTCGGCTGAATTAACTTCCTGACTGTCATCCAGTTTATTCTCATGTGAACTGACATCTTTCTCTCTAGAATAAATTTTAAGTTAATTTTTTTTATTGTTAGATAAAATTAATATTAGGCTGTACTCACTTGATAGACATGTCCAAAGGTTGTTCTGGTATGTGTACCTGAAGATTTTGAATGCTGTCAGGCCTCTTTGGCACCTCCTGAGCCTTGGCTTGTTCCAAATCTGAAGGTTTTGCACTTTCATCAATTTTGACTTCTGCTAACGTGTTATCATCTGAAAACACATGTATCGCAAGGATAGTTACACTTCAAAGTATGGTTAAACAGGAAAAACTTACCAAATTTCTGTGTTGGTGGATTAGCCCTAGACCAGTTAAACCAGGAAGTGTAGGGTTTCTTCGGCTGTTTGGTAGTATCCTTCAGCTCTTTACCTTCGTTTTCACCTTCACACAACCTTGAAATTACTTCCTGTAAAAATAAATAATTAATAGAGAGCAGTTTAACAACCAAGCACTCAAATTCCAATGGAAACACAGCAATCATTTAGAAATAAAGTGTGTGAGCAACCCAATTTGAAATGATAAAAAGCACAGCTTTTTCTTAGCAAAAAAATAAAATAAGTGCTAAACTCTTCTCCATGTACCAGAACACACCTCTTCTAGAAAACCCCGCTTAGAATCATCTAAGCTTGTTTTATGTACAAGCTAATAACCCCCATAGTGTTGGGGTATTTATGGAATCAAATCCATGTCGCAGGCCTTTATCACTTTGACAATGTTATTGTGAAAACTGCTTTTTTTTTATTGGACCTTTTGGAAATTTTTAAAGGTTTTTCTTAAGAAAAAGTTTAATCAATTTTTTTCCATTATATACATATTAATAAAAGTGATAAATGTGCACGTGGTGTCTTCTTAGGATTATTCTTCATGAGCGCTCATATCGCGATATTTCGAACGCGTCCTGCCTCTTGTTTTTAATGGTTTCTATACGGAACATTTAAAGCACATGCTAGGAAATGCAAGACCATTTTACACATGCACATAAACAGCACGTTTCAGTGTAGTTTTCAAAATGAAACTTTCTTCAGGTAGGATGTGTTGTGGGGGGATTTTATTGTTGAAGCAACTAAAGCAAGCAAAAAAAGATTTATATAGATGAAGGTGGAGGGAGAATATAGATTCAGTTTTCATAAATGGTGGTTCTATTGTTTACAATTCGGATTTCACGCATTAAACGCTCATCATCAGGTTGAAAGAGTTACATATACATCACTTGACATGAATTGCAAGAGAGACTCTCACCAGCTTATGTCGAGAGAGGTGTTTGTAACTCATTCAACTTGATGATGAACTTTTAATGTTGTAAACAACAAATCTGTGAGTAGAACAATCATTTACAAAAAGTGAAAGAAAAAATGGAAAGATGAAACGTTAGTTGTTAAGAACATTGCTTCATCAATTGTCCAACATTTTGACTTCACTTCTCTATTTGAATATTCCTTCGAACTAATTGTTGGTAGATATAACTTTAATTCACAAATGGATTTTTCTTCGGACATCACCACATATATAAATACACAAATAAATATAATGTCCTCAATATCTGTCAACTTTGTTCCCACATTCCTTATCCCCTCGCACCAATCATCCATGCTGTCAACACTCCTCTAAAACTTTTATTGCATGATCGTGCAGAGGCAAACCTATGGAATTTGCTTCCTTGGGAAATACATTCTGCTTCTTCCCTGGCTTGTCTATGGTATCTCAGTTTAAAAAAAAAGATATGAATCATCTCATTTGTGTCTTCCTTTCATTTGTCCTTTTTACTCTTTTAGCTTTTATTTCGTAATGTGGTTTTATCATTTGATTATAAATAAAGTAATTCATATTTTAAAGAATATACTATTGTCATTACTGTTTTGTATATTTTATTATATGTTTATTATGATTATTATTGATCTTATTATTATTATTATTTTACTATCTTTATAAAGCTACATTTATTTCTAAAATATGTAAATTTAAGAGGGCTTAAAGCCCTATTTGTATCTTTAAAATAAATAAAACAATACACATATAAATCAAGATTGACTAGAGAATAAGGTTGCGTTTGAATTGCCGAGATGAATGTCCATGAAGATTGAACAGCATCCCGAGCATTAGCATTGCTAACGCCTCCCACCGCGTCAGGAACTCTAATGCTGAGCGAACACAAAATTTTACGTGTTAGAAATCTTGTCTAGATTCTAAACGCCAAGTTTTGAACACTCGTGTAGAATAGGTTTTAATTAACATATTTAAAAAATAAATTCCAAAATGTGGAGGTCTTGATTTTCTTTGGATTCTTCCCCTTCATAACCCTGGATAATGGAGGTTTTACTGAATAATAAAATGACCGAAAGAAATTAAATTGGAATAAAATCTATTTTATCACAAATCCATTACTCAAAATAACAAGCTAATTTTATTACTGGAGGAAGCCAAAATTGCGTTTAAAATGAGCATGTATGATTCAGCTCGCTCAGTCCAGCATAATCGCTTTGGTTTGGGCTCACCCGGTTTACAGTGTATAAAAGTACATGCTAATACATGTGTTTGTTCCAGCGCATCCCAAACTCTCTTGGCTCGGCCTGCACTGTAGAATGTTCATGCTTTTTCTTATAAAAAGTTTTAACTGATCGTGGCACCATAAAGTGAGTCAACTATTAGCACAAAGAAGCATGAAACAGTTGAAAACAATGGCCTTAATTATTAGGAATAGCACCAGAGTTTTAACAGTGGTTAAATAAATACCTAGAAGGACATTTGGTTCTACTTAGAATTTTCTGAGATCTTTTAACTAGAATTTGAATTGCAAACTTGTTTAAGGCTTGTAAAAATTAATTATTAATAGATAATAATTTAATTTTCAACAAACAAACACCCTGACCTGACCACTCGGCTACATGGACCCATCAAAGCAGTATAATTTACAGCTAAAATGTGCAATGTACAATTTGCTTGGAATCGACAAAATTGTATTCAGCATTTACCCAAACTATCCTTTTAATGATTCAATCAGTGGTAAAATGGGTGGGTTCAATTAATGGTAAAAAAAATGGGAGTGGAACAAGCACCGCTTACCTGAGGCAAACCCTTATGATAGACGAACATTGACAAGATAATTGGTGCAGCGGTGTGCCAAGAATATAGTTTTCCATCAATCCTCACCACCAGCTTCGGATTGTTGAGGTGTGCGAGTGGGTCCTGACAAAGGTCGTCATAAGAGATCATGTTGTCATTGAATTGCTCGGAAGTTGCATTAGCACCAGCTGTCGAAATCGCTACATCCTCAGGGCACCACCTTAAACAAAATTCAAAAATTTGATAAAGACATTTTTATAGTACTTTGTGTTTTACATACTTGTGGTGTTCGAAATCACTATCGATCGACTTAGGTCCACAGATTGCACCTTCAACACTATGAGGTGACTGAGGAAGCGATGGCCCATTTCCTGATTCAGTATCTTCTTCACGTTGTTCGACGTAATCTTTAAAACAAAAGTTAATTGTTAATATGCTTATTTTCTGTTAAGCAGAATTCTAATTACTACCTGAGTTATTAGAAGTGTTATTTTGTTTATATGTAGATGGGAAATACAAAGCAGCTATTTCAGGGTCTTCAGAATTCAATTCTGACAGATAAATCCCTTCAGATTCATTCTTGTGCCTCATATGCTTTGTTTTCTTCATGAAGCCCAGCATGTTTTGCAACATCCATTTTTGTGCTTCAAATAAATTTTGTCATTAATTTATTTGCTGTTATTTATTTAATTTTATTCAGTTAACACTTACATTCTTGTTTGTTCTCTTCATTGTTTGGTGAGGTCGGAAGCTCTCCCCATCTCCAAGACTGAGGTTGATCTTCGTTATTGTTTGACTGTCCGCCTTCTCCACCAGTGCGTTTCGTTTCAAACTCACTGTCACTTTGTACTGGTGCAAAATCTCTTGGGCTATAAATAATTTAAATTTAAAAAATAAATTTTATTTTGTGGTTTAACACATTAATTTAAAACACCGAGCAAGATTCAATAAAACTAAATAACTATTGAGATAAAAAGTAAGATTTTTATTCATGAACTAAAAGATAAGAAAGAAAAAACAACCAAAAATTTCTTTGGAGTGTTCGACCTAGATCAAAGCTAAATGTGCATAAATGAAAATTTTAAAAAATAAAACAAAAAAAACTGAATTTATAAATTAAGTATATAAAATATTACATTTGGAACAGGAAAATACTCTTTCATGCTGCACTCTTATCAGAACCATGCGATGGAAATAATAGCGTAATGGTATTATTTAATTAGTGGAATTAATTACAAAGCATTGATGATGTGCGTGGCATTCAGCAGTTGAAAACCGGGGTCCAACTCGCTCTCACCTTCTTTCTTACACCTAAACCATCACATATCATCAGCCCCGAGAAAACATGTTAAAGACTTTGTTACGTATCATAAAAAGATTTGGAAGTCAATTATGTTAATTTTCAACATAAATATTGGTTGTATTCAGGATTAAATTAAGGAATCAAAAGCCCTAGCACTTGAGATCTTAGAACTATTCAACACACTTAAATTTACAAATGGCATACTTCCATTGAATTAGTATTAATTTAAGCCTTCAAAAATTATTTGTTTATGAAATAAAATAAAAATAAAAAAGGTTCTGTAGGTCTTATTATGCAGCAAAGAATCAATGATTGAAAGCATAAACTGAATACAAAATGTTTTGAATGGGAAATTTCTATTCTATTGAACAGCTGAAAAATTTTCAAAGTGCATATCCACGATGTTCACTAACAAGCAGCACCAAAAATTAGCTTATCACATTAAAAAAATTACTGGAAAGAACTATTTTAGTGCATGTTCATTTACCAGTGAAATGTCTTGTCTTTCAAATATGTTTTTGTTTAGTTATCAAATTAAGGCAAAAAACTTCATTTAGGGGGTAAGGTGGTTAGTTTTGCATAAAAATATACACTACAATACGTTATTGTTAAGTTGAAAATATATGTATGTACATCATACAGGCTTATGTAAATTGCAGGAAGTCTTTCACAGTCATCACGATGTGTTTTTTCTCAACCTTCAACTTCTTTTTTCATGTAAACCCGTCTTAAAAGTTAGCAAGTTTGCAAGACCCACCTTTGGCAGTCAACAGTTGGAAGTATGCATCCTCCAGATGCTTCTGTGCCCCCTCCAGAAGGAGCCTGTTTTTAAAATTTGCCTTTGTATCTTCTTGGATTAAGATGTTTTTCATTATCTCTTTATAATTTGTGGAAAAACGGATAAAGGACAGCATTCCAAATTGTTTACTTCAAAGATTCATGGAATAATTTTTTTTAATATTATTTCTTAATGATGAGTTCAGAACACAGATTTTTGCATTTAAGAATGTATGCATTTGAGAGAAGCGTCTGTGGCGAAAGGATAAAGCTAGATTTTAGTTATTTCATAAACAAAAATTAATCAAAGCATACAGAAACAAACTGGATTTTCCCTGGATGGATAATGGTACTGTTGGAAAAGGAAAACGATTAAAGTTTGGATAGAAATGACGAATGATCGTCCGAGGAGTTTAGCAAATTGTAGGAGGAGCCAGGACTGGCAGAAGTGAGTAAGAGATGCATACTGCATCGAGAAATTTGGGAAATGTTTGAATTCCCGGAAAGGTTTTGGAATCAAAATGCCATGGATAATTAGTATAGTAACTTTTTGTAGGTCCATTGTGGTACTAGAAATATTAACTAAGGCAGATTTGGTGGAAAAAAATGTTAAAAAAATATGTACATTCCCTGCTCAGAGCTTAAAAGATTCACATACTCCCTAAATATCTTGGCAACTGTCATTATACAAGTCATACAAACTGGCATTATCAGACAGGATCTACATTAGAGGAGGAAGCCCAGTTGGATTTGAGCCTGGAGAAGTTGTGTTGAAATTTTAAAGCCCTGTACAACTGTACATTATTTTTTCTTTCTTTTAAAAAGGTTTGTGAGCAGAGGTGAATTTAATAAAGGTTTTTTTTTAACAGCTTATTTTCTTATCTGGTAAAAAAATCCACCCCCTTGTTATTTGTTTTAGGTAGTTTGGGTTTTTTATCACGAGATTTTATTTATTTATTTAATTTTGGCATTTTTGTTATTCTTGCTCAACTACCGTGGATTCGTAACAAAATTTATCACCAATTGTGTGAAAGCACTACTTGTTCTTGAACCTAGTGGAACGCACCTTTACATGCATGATTGTTTAGTTTTATGATGACAAATACAGCATTACTTTTTAAAAATACTACTAAGTACTAAAAATTTACTCTCAGAAATAAAATAAAAAATCTATGATGACTAAACTAAGGAGTGCAAATTGTAGTGGGAATAAAATGTGTATAAAATCTAAGAAAAGCATAAAAAGCAAAAGAATGAAGAAGCTGCTATAGATAAAGAAAATGTTTAATTAGTTTTGCTTTCTTTGAAAAAACATTGAATCATGAACAATTTAAAAAAATAAAAAACCCACAGAGACCCTTTTCTATGCAGTTTATTTTTTTGTTAATATTAAAACATAAAATGGAAATATGCTGAACACAATAAAAACTTAGTTTTATTATCAAACAAAATTTTTAATTCTTCAAATTAAACTTTCAAAAGAAACGTATTTAAATAATAGTTTAAAAAAGGAAACTTCCATCCTTTAGTTAGTATTCCATTAAAAAGTGTAATAAGCAAGCAATTAATCTCATTTTCTCAAGTTTAAAATAATAAGGAGATTATCCAAAAAATTAAGGAATATGTGCTATTATTAAATGCTTGATCATTATGAAACTCACCTGCTTCCTGGTGTAATTTCTGTGTCACTAAAAAAATGAATGTCCCTTTCCAATTGCTGGGGAGTTGTGGGCACATCGATGGCTTTGGATTCATCCTGTTTAAACATAATTCATAATTGTATTCATGCTACCTTCGGCAGGCGTGTTATTTCATATCTAAAATCCCACCTTTTCAACAATTGTGAGCTGTTGAGCTCCATCGAGATCCTCGATTTGGAAAATTACTTCACCATGGCATGTCTTGTCGTCATTCATCTGACTCCCACTACTCGCACTCCCTCTTTTCTGTGCTCCTTTTTTCTTTGTTGACTTCTTTCTCCGTTTGCGTTTGTTATTGTTGCCACCCCCGATAGAGCTCGTGCTGACCCTTTCATCCGCAGATGGTGAATCCTCCTTTTATATTAACAAAACAGAACTCAATTTAAATTTTGTTGTTGTTTTATTATTCAAAAATAAATATAGCAAATGTTGTATGCTTGAAATAGAGAATTGGCAACAAAACTTGTTTACTCTCAGTTCAATAATGTATTTTCACCTTGGCAACCATAATTGCAATAACATGTACCTTGTTGAATTCATTTCCAGTGCTTTCTTGACTAGAGTTTGAAGTTTCTGGATGTTGCCCTGGTATCGGCCTGAACTCTGTTGTACTCAATTTGCGAACAATTTCATTGTCCTCTTTGGATAAAGTTTCAGCCCTAAAAGTCTTAGGTGTGCTAGAACCAATATTAACTATTTCTTTCTCGCAGTTTTCTTCTCCTTCTTCATACCTGAAAATAGTTTTTTTTTAAACATATAAAAAAAGAGGGAAAGGGCTATTGCCTCCTCTTTCTGGCAGAATATCAAATTGTATTATCAGCGCAAAACTCTACCTGGGCCAATCTGTGTTATATCTGTAGTCCTCTGGCGGGATGGGTGAGCAGGCCAAATGCGGGGGAATGTGACCCTCTTCACCTTCGCCAACCTCGACCTCCTCGACAAAGAATGCCTCGCCGGATTCCCCTAACTTCATGTGAATATCAACCGGTTCACCATTTATCTCAATGTCCACCTGAATAAAATAAGGGTTTTTTGTTCAATATTTCAAGAAACTTTATTAGATACTATGTGAATTCTGAATCTGAACTCCATAATAATATGATTTAATTAATTTTTTTTTTTTAACTCCAAGACCTTGGTATTTTTTACAAGATTGCAATTTAAAAATAACATTTTGTTATCTTGCAAGACAGGAGGGCATTAAGAGTAAACAACCATAGGGTTTCAATTAATAACATTAAATGAGATAAATATTTGAAGATTTTCAAATTAAATAATCATTAAATTCTTAAAGTAAATATTAAATGGCATGTTTGGAACAAGGCCAATTGCATAATAATTTAAATGAATGAGCTTATCATTTGATTTTAACCTATCGCACTAACAAAAAATTAATCTTTTTTTTAATTAAAAAACTCTTACTGCAAGCTCTATTGCTCACAGAATTTAAGTGTTTCATTCAATCATGTAAACCTTTAATGAACAACAACAAAATAAAATTAAGAATTTTTTTTTGTGATAAAAAACAAGAATTATGCAACAATTAAAACAGCACTATTTAGGCATATTGCCATTTTGGCAAGTTTAAAGAACATATTTCAAATGATTGTGCAATGCCCTGAGTAGTTGTTGTTCACAGGGCCTTGGAAAGTTCATGGCAAGGTGACAGCTAACAAGGGGAAAATGAGAACTTACAATTTTCTCTTTGCTCCTGAGGACACCCATTTTCCCAAAGCGGACGTGAAACGGTGAGCATGTGTAGGATCCATCAGGCTGCTCAACAACAACGACATCAATGGCTCCAGTGAGTGTAGCCGCATTGATCTCATTGTATATGTACTTGCAATTATTTATCACCTTACCGAGGTAATTCATTTTCAGGCCTGAAAATAAACAAAACAGTTTTAAATTAATATTATCATTAACAAGATGCAAATAAATTAATTCTTGTCCCAGCTCAATTTACAACAATATATATTCGTAATTAAACAGACTTTTAATATATCCACAAATAAAATTTACATAAATTTTCTTTGCTTGGGATTTTTTTTTAAAATATACATACAGGGTGTACTGTAAGTAGATGACACACCGAAGACAATGAAACTATACCACCAAAAAAGTAGTTAAATGCCACCCACAACATATTTCTACCTCAACCCATTCCAGATATATGCCATTTTAAGGTTTTTTTGCTTTTTTTTTTAGAAAACCACGTTTTTTTGTTTCCCAACTTTTACAAATTTTTCCAGTGGTGTCCAGCACACAGTGGATGATATATAACAAACAGGTTGAAAAAAAATTCTGAAAATGCTGTTTTATTTTCTTCATATAATTTGTCTTTATGATGAATGTGTATTATTTTTAATAGATGTTTCATATATATGAGTACCATAAACATATAATGGAGATATAAAATTATTTAAATGCAATACTTTTTTATTCAATAGTGAGAAATCGTTTGATTCTTGAAAGGTTTTATTAACCAGTTTACAACCATTACCTAGCGATAAATTTGATTTTGTAATATAATCTGGGGGGTAATTAAAAGAAAGATGAGGCAACTAAGGCCGGAACATCCCTACTAGATAGGGTAATATATTTATTCCAATTAATTATTCTTTTTATCTAAGATTTTTGGTTGAGATGAAAAATTAGTGCCATGAGTGGGATTTGAACCCACGACCTTCAGCTCAATATGCTGCTACTCCAGCCCCTTGCACTATTGTGACCAAGCAGAAGGTCATGGGTTTGAATTCCACTTGTGGTACTAATTTTTCATCTCAACCAAAAACCTTAGATAAAAAAATAATTAATTAGAATAATTAATATGGTCAATCATGACCACTAAGCAACTACACTTTTCATAAAAAGTAATTAATTAAGGTTTTTATCTCAACTAAAAACCTTAATTAATTGAAAGATATTAATTGGTCAAGCGGACCACGAAAGTGTGGATCAAAATAAAAATTAATTATAATAACAACCTATAAAATAGAATAACAACAGCAATATTATCACAATAAAATAATATAGTTTTTTATGATGTATTGTTTTGTGTCCACAGTATGTTTTGAATGTGAATGTATTTATTAGCGTGAATGTGTACCTTAAGAAGGCCAATGGTCAAATATTGAGATTACTCCATCTATCCTTAATTAGATTAGGTATGTAATGTCAAGTACTCCATCACTCTGAGTGAATTATATTTAATTAGTAACGAGTATATCTAAGAGTGAGTTAGAGTTTGAATGGGTTCGAATTCAGATGGATTGCATTGAGGGCTGAAATGACCTAATGTTGATAGCCCAACTACAGTGACTGGACGAAGGTCTGACCCCAGACTGCCAATGCCTGGGGTGGGTGATTCTTGAGGGATGCTGGTAATTTATTGTAAATTACACAAAAGCCAGAATTGCTGGTGGGCTGTAAGAAGTGATATGTGTGCTATACATGCATATGCATAGCTGAGCTTATATAAATCACTAATTATTCAATTATATAATAATTAAACTTGTAATTTTAACATAAGCTAGTTTGTAATACCCATGAAATGTGCAAGCAAATATGGAACATAAGATTTCACATGTTTGATTTATGACTACAGAATAATGAACCAGAAATGTTGTCGTTACTGATCCTATTGATCTGTCTATCCTCACTGAGTTGATCTGTCAAACCAATTTCTTCATTTCACCCTCTTCACAGATAGTTAAGATAACAAAATCTGGAAACACATCTGACAGGCAACTCAGCAAAGACAGGCAGACCAAAATGATCAGTAATGACCAAATTTGAAATTAAAGAAAATGTTTAAAATCCTATATCAACATTGAACTGTATAATTCTCAATATTTCTGAGTTGTAATTCTCGATCGGTTGTAAGTTCAATAATTATAACAGCACTTTTACTACTTCAGTATGAGGTATTTTTGAAATTTCAAATGTTCATAATATGTTAGCATACTTAATCTCCAGATGTGTAATTAGGTAGATTAGATTCACTGGCATAGTTATTGTTCTAATAAAACAAAGGGAAATGTAAGGTCAGTGGCAAGCGAAATTTTGTACTGCCTTCACCTTGAAAGTAAAAACAGCATATTTGATTATTTCATAGAGAATTTAAGGAACCATTTGTTGAAACAAAAATGTTTATCACGTTTTACTTTTTTTCTTTTTGACAAAAATTAACCCTGATATAATAAATATCTATAATATAGATCTATTTATCTATTATATCTAATCAGAAAAATAGATAGTTCTTATCTCTCAGTTATGAATGGCAAGTTTAAATGTCACTATGTGATGTAGTATGGACCACTGTTTTTAATTTCTCTTTTTCAATTTTTTGAGCCATAGCTTATGTATTTGTCCAGCATGTAGACGAAAGTTGCTCAAAGTGTCCCATTTAACTGAAGGACTCAATTTCCTTGGCTCTATACAGAGAACGAGTAGGAATGAAACCTCCTTATGAGAAATGTGTTCGAGGATGGCTGTGAGTCTTTGGATCCCCTATTGCAGGTTTTGGAAGTAACAGGGCTGTTTTATTGAATATAGAACGCCGCTGATGTCTCATTTTGTGACCCTTTTCTGTATAGGACAATAGAGTGAATGAGTAGTGTGAGAGGACCGATGATGGAATATTGATTACCCATCGATCCTCAATTAGGTTGGTGTAAAGGGTAATGGATGAATCTACCACCCAACTTGAGTGAATGGTTTGTAAATATTAAAGAATGTATTTAAGAATGGTTGAGAATGTGAGTATGAGTAAGTTTAAAAACTGCATCTATTGGGAGATGAAATGACCTAGCTATTAAGTTCCCTTAAAAGGAGACATTGGCATCAAGGTAGATAATTTTATCTTACAAAGATCAGTCCCTATTCAAACACCAGGTAGGATTTAAAAAATTTCAAATGGTTTCACAACTATTTTATTTTTTGTATGATCCAATTGAGGAATGAGACAAAATAATTGGCCCAAACTATAACCAGGAAGTATATTTGTAGATTTGGGTTCCATGCCTTCTGACTTGGCAAGTGCTTTTCATTCTTACAAACTATGTCACAGCTAGAATTAGTAATTTTAATTAATAACCCGTTAACACATTGGTAGAAAATTGTTCCATTTAAACAGTAATGTTTGGAAATTTAAACAGGGTAATGTGAAAGATAAAATAACAGAAACACCTGGAAGACCATCCATAATGAAAGTGGATCCTTTATTGTCATGTATAAGATGCAATCAACATGATAACGTATAAGAAGCCAAATTGATATTTTATCATCTAGAATAATTAATGATTAACTACTTGCTTTGGTGATTACATTAAAAAAAATTAAAAAACGTGATGAGACTGTACTGAAACTGAAATGGAACACTGAGGTAATGTAGCACCAGTGTATGTGTTAATAAGAAACTTATTTTAAACAAGCCTAAACTTGCTATCCTGGAGTAATTTAAAAGGAATATTTGCTGTGATTTGTAAAAAGTTTTAGACATAAAAATGGACTGAAGCCTTGAATAACTACAATTTGTATTCAAAAAGTGATATTAGTGAGATATACAACAAAGCTCTGTGATAGTGACAATGGAAACCCCTGTGAGGTCATACAACATGAATCAATCAATAGAAATAGATTTAATGTTCACGAATAAAACTATCCTTTTATACAACTCTTGTAATCTTGAAGTAAAAAGTACAATCATTGATTTATAAATTGTTTTGTTGGTAAAATTAATAGATTGACAACCTGAAAAATAATAATTTGAACACATAACAGAGATGGAGCACTGAGACCATGCAGCATGCACCTATTATACATAACATATAACCAAATAATTATTTTAAACAAATCTACACTTGCTATTCTGGAATAAATTAAAAGAAATATTAACTGTGGCTTCTAAAAATGCTCAAATATAAAATTAATGCTTTGAGCCATAAAAAGCTACGAATTATACTGAAAAATGTGGTAGATCAGTGAGACTTGACTCTGAGATGGTCCTGGCGGTGTGCAATGAGAGTCAACACTTTCACTGTTATGTATATGATGTAATTTCAATCAATTTTAAGGGGTCGTCGGAGAGGCTCTTGCGAGTCAAGAGCACGACCGGTAGATGGCCCTCAGAGAACCTGAGCAGGAGAAGAGGGATCGTACTCACCCGACTGAGGATTGGCCATACGTGGTTGACACATGGGCACCTGTTTTTGGGCCAAAGCCCGCGCAGGTGCCCCTTATGCAGAGAAAGGTTCCTCGATGTGCCCCACATAATAGAGGCGTGTCATGCCTTGGCTCCATACAGAGAGCGTGTAGGTATGCTGCCAGACTTAAGAAGGGTTCTCGAGCACGGTAGTGAGTTTCAGTCCCCTGTTCCGCTTTTTAGAGGAAATTGGGGTTTTTTATTGTATATAGTATGTCTTATGTGTTGTGTCTACATGTTTTGTCTGAGTGCATGTATTTATTAGCGTGAATGGTGAGGGTGAAATATAACGCCATCATCGCCCCTCGAACGATGAAAGCGAGTGAGTGTGTGTTCAGGGTTGATGGCGGAATATTTATAAAAGTACCCCATCGAATCCAATCTAGTTTAGTTTAAGTATATTTCGGTGGAGGAATATCAAGTACTCCACCAACCAAACGGAATTAGTGTACTGTATGGATGTATTTATTTGTATGAATATAGTGTTTGAATGGGTATAGAATATAGACTTAGTTAGGGGCTGAAATGACCTAGATGTCGGAAGCCCCAGCCAAAAAAAAATAATATAATAATTTTAAAAAAATATAAAAAAATAAATAAATTTTAAGGAAGCTAAACTGGTTTTTGTTATCTTGGAGTAAAAAGAACAACTGTGAGATGGAACACTGTGGCCATGAAGTATGCATTAGTAAAAGATTTAATCAAATAATTATTTTAAACAAATCTATACTTCTTGTTTTGGAGTAAATTAAAAGAATACTAGCTATGATTTCTTTACAAAAATAAAATAAAATAAATAAATGATTAAAATAAATTTGATGTTTCAAGGTCATAAAAACCGATTTGCACTGAAAAATGTCATAGATTAGTAAAATTTTGACACTAAAGCTCTGTGATAGAGAGAATGGAAACCCTCCTTAGGTAATACAATATATGTCAATCTATGTGCCATGTAAGATTTAAGAAGTATCAATGAATTATCGATAAAAATTAATGGATTGATGCCCTGGAAAATTATAATCTATAAAAGAAAAAAATTTATGGTTTGGTACCTTGAAAAAACTATGAATACCTACCTTGAAAAATGATTATTTGTACTTAATATGAATGTAGTTGCTCAGCGAGATATTGATTTAAATCTCTGAGATAGCGACTCGACCTTTTATGAATATGTAGCAATGTGATAAATGTTAATACAGCTTAAATTATTTTTGATATCATAGAATAAAACGGACAACTGTGAGATAGAACATTGACGTCACATGCAGCATGCATTGGAATAAAAATCTATAAAATAATTAATTTAAACATTCGCAAAACATGATATGCAGACGAGGATGATTAGAAACAACCAAACTACACGTCCATCACCTAGCAAACTTCAGGAATAACTCTAATCTCTTTAAGATCCAATAAATAAATACTTTAAAAAAACTAAAACTATTTTCAAATAATTAAGATTTATACAATTTGTAGATGTAAAAATGAACAGATTGCTGCCTTGAAAAACTAATATGTGTGCAGTTGCTCAGTGAGATATTGATTTTAAAGCTTTGAGAAGAGACATGAGTCAACTTTTTTATTGTTATGTATATAACTGCAATTTAATAAATTTTAAGGAAGCTAAGCTGGTTTTTGTTATCTTGGAGTAAAAAAGGACAACTGTCATGCATCATGTACTGGAATAAGATTTAATCGAATAAGTATTTTAAACATTAGCAAAACATAGGACAGCCAGACCAGAATGATTAGGAACGATCAAACTACATGATCATCACCTACCAGACTTTAAGAATAAATCTAATCTCTTTAAGATGCAATAAAATAAATATTTTAATAAAATCTAAACTTGTTTTTTTTTCTTTCTTCAGATCATTAAGATTTGTAAAATTTGAAGATGTAAAAATTAATGGTTTGGTACCTTGAAAAAACATTATTTGTACTTAATAAGTTGCTCAGTGAGATATTAATTTTAAAGCTCTTGAGATGATCCTGACAGGTGCAACATGAGTCAACACTTTTATAGTTATGTAAGTGATGCAATTTAATAAATTTTAAGGAAACTAAGTTAGTTTTTGTTATCTTAGAGTAAAAAGGACAACTATGAGTTGGAACACATGTCATTCAGCACGCTCCACTATAAGATTAATCAAATAAATATTTTTAACAAATCTAAACTGCTATCCTGAAGTAATTTGAAAGGTATATTTACTGTGATGTCTAAAATTTTAAGACGTAAAAATTAATGGATTGAGGCCTGAAAAACTATAATTTGTAATGAAAAATATGTATGGCAGCAAATAAGAGATAATGAATTCTAAAACTAGGTGATAAGAAGCAAGTGTCATGCAATATGCATCAATCCATTAATCCTATTCGGAGAGTTTTAAGATAAATCATTATTATAACGGCCAAAAATCAGAGTACCGAGAATTTTGAAGGGCTGGGGTTGAGTCATCTTAGTGGCCGACCTTGACAGAAGCCAACTGACAGTCGATTCACATGAGAGAACATTTTGTGCCGAATGGCTTCTGTCATGTAATGTCAGAACAAAAAAAACTATTACACATGTGAAATATCGCAATATGAAAAGAGATCCATACCGAGGCGTTTTATGGAGAACATGAAATCTAAACTGTAAGTATAAATAAATATCGCACGACTTATTTTTGTACAGAGAAAATTTATAAAGGTCGAAGGCAAGAGGCTTTAATTGAATTTAGTGGTGAAGAAAAAAAATGTCGATTGTGTTTGAAAAAAAGATGATTTTTTGTTTACAAACCTTTTGTTTGTCGATGGGGCGCAAAGGGATAAAGGCGAGGGCAAATTTCATGCAGGGGCCTCTAAGCAACTGACCTACGGGAATGGCCTGGCCGTTGAGGGCGGCAGGACGCAGGGTCGTTCTCGGATCTGTCCTTAAGGGCGGCTATCGCCCTTGTCGTCGGCGAGTCCTCCCTTTCAACTGTCTTCTCCCGAGGCGCGGAACGGGGCGGATCGCCGAGGACGAAAACGGCCAGCTGAGGAAATCGATAAACGACGATCCGGAGTCACGGAGGGAGGCGAGGACGCGAGAGCCGTCTCTGTTGCTGCGGGACGGCCGCGATCATCCGATTGCTTACGATTACGACTCGGCGGAACTCGACCCATCTGCGCTGCCCATCATCTCAGCTGATCTCGCGCATGCGCTGCCCAGAACCCGGGGCCGACTTACAAACTCACATTTACAACTTTCTCATTTTTCCATTTATTACACGGATAACTGGCTTTTTCAATAAGATTTTTAATAAATTGCACTTTTTTACCGAAGCTGTTGCTTTGTTGAGATATTGACTTTTTTTTAACCCCGTTGGCGGACGATGCAAGGCGAAAATTGAGTCGGACTCTCCGTTTTATTGATCGACCAACCCGGCTCCGTTCGGGCTTGCCCTACTCACGTACTCGATGATATTCAACCAGACTATCGCTATCCAGAAATCGAGCGAGGCGAGTCATGGGTTTTCCCGAACATTGAACCCCATGACATAGGTGTCTTCGTGCTAGTCATTTTTCCGTAATCCCGTAAAATCCGATTAATACGCATATTGGACTCGACACTAAAACGAAACTTTAAACTTTTCGATAATAGATGGAAAAACTGTAAAACTGATATATTTTTGATCCTTCGATAAAATTAGTCTGAATTAAATAGGCTTAATAATTAAATCCATTATGTTTAGTGGTCTGACTGACCAAATTACTTCTTTCAATTAATTATTCTTTTAATGTAAGGTCTTGGTTGAAATGAAAGTCTTAATAATATAGTTGTACATTTAATTTATGATTGTGATGACAAAATTGCAGAGCCGCTGGATTCGAACCCGGGACCTTTACCTTACAGTGGTGAGCGCCGAGTCAACACCTAAACCGATGCGGCCACCAACGCCCCTAAATTGGTGATGTTTAAAGTCACAGTAAATAAAAATGTTCATGGAAGTTTTGTAAGCGTTCGCTGCAAAGGCAAAAAAATCCTCATGGTGTCTGAAGAGTTAAGAACTATGTTGGTCTGTCCTATCCTCGCTATTTTGGCCTGTCAGTCGCGTTTAACAAAATCTGATGATAAATTATAAGTGGTAAGCTGTTCACAATGTTTTGTGACTGATCAATTTATTATCTGTTTAATCTTATGGTTAGTTAACAATTAGTGCTACTGTTTAATGGTGTGCTTTATTTGTTTTACTAAATTTTATTTATTTATTCTTCTTAGTTATAATTGCATTGTGTGCATGGGATTTTTAGTAAAAACTTTTTCCCCCAAATAAAAATATTTTTACACCGTTTATGCCATAAACTCATTTTAATTTATAATTTAATATGTCAAAGGACGCTGTAGCGCTTTCCCTTTGTAAACGTTTTCCAATGTATATATCATTAAAAAAAATTATAAATTCAACTATTTTTTATTCTTATTCAATGTTTAAATTCACACTGCAAATAAAAATAGAAAAAAACCGTCAATGGGTCTGACGGGTGATGAACCCAGTAGTTTGGTCATTTCCGATCATTTAGGCTCGGAGACTTTGGTGTATCAGTCGCGTTTAACGAAAGCTGATCATAAATTATAAGTAGAAAGGTGTTCTCAGTTTCCTTAATCTTTAATGAAATGAAAATGTGCATGGAAGTTTGGAAACATTCGCTGCATAAAGAAAAAACAACGTGATGTTTAACCATTGGAGTCTGAGGGGTGATAAAAAGAGAAAGATTTTACCAAAAATATTTAAACATGTATTTAAAAATATATATATAGAAAATTACAATCTAATTTTGATAAATGAAGTGCAGAAATGCCCCGCTGTAGATGGTGCTTTTGTGTGTGTGCGTGCGCGCGCGCGCGTGTTTACCCACCAATGGTATCAGAACTGTACAACTGACGTTGGCGCTTCGTCAGATGTGGATGGATGAAGTTCCTTTCGTGCGTACTTGTTTATGACTGTAAGAAGTTCTGTTCGTACAGACTTCTTGACTATGGAAGACTGAAAAGTAAGAGAAATTACAGAGAGCAACTGCAAAAAAGTGACCTCTGTTTCTCACTCTAGTCCGGTCCTCAGATTTAAAAAATTTCCGCTTATAACCAAATTTACTCGCAGAATGCTTCCCGTAGAAAAGGAATAAAAAAGATACAAACTTAAGTTCTTAATCATGAACAGTATTAAACACTATACTATATAAAAATGTTCACACTGGCGTAAACAGACTGTATTCATTTGCGTGAATGTGCAGTGTGAGATCAATGGGGGTATATTGAAGTACCCCAGCGTCCTTCTAATTAGATTAGATGTATAGTTTGTACGTAAGGGGAGTAAATAGTATGTACATAGTTTTGACTGTATTTCATAGTAAGAGTTTAAGTATGATTAGTGATTATTCGGAAATCGTGGGATGCGGTCGGGTGTAGGTTTCAGAAAAACATTTTCTTTATCGTGCCAACGTTTCGATCTATATTGAAATCATCTTCAGGGCCTTGTATTGTCTGCATTTCAACAAAACGGTTCTCTGATTAATAGCCGATGCGAGTTTCTTCTCATTGTTGGCGATGTCCTTCAGAATACTTTTTGCTTCGTGTTCATATTTAGTTGAAATTTGTTCATAAATCCCATGTTCTTCGTTCTTCTCGTGTAGAAATGTGTCGTGATTAGTGACCGTTAGTCGATGATTATTCGGAAATCGTGAGATGCGGTCTGGTGTAATGTACGTTTCAGAAATCATTAGGTTAACTACATGTATTGGATGCTGAAATGAACTGTCACTAGCCCACGGAATCAACACAGGAATAAACCTACTAGACAATTCTTCTGAACCAAATCATTTTTTCTGGTCTTATCGAATTTAGGACTAGTTGTGAGGAACTGGAATAGATCCTCTTCAACTAGTCGATTACAAATGGTATTTATAATTATCGATTGAAAATAAAATAAGTATGGCTTTGATATTTATAGCAAGAATATCTTATTTTAATTGTTTGAAGTAAATTCATAAAATACTATGTTTTTATGTTGTTTGGTTATTTAGATGTCTATTACAAGAAAGTATTCTTCACAATCAATATGTTTCATTCTTTAGCTAGTAAAAAAGTAATGTAATCATTATTTCTGCGGGGATATGTAAAATGGAATCGTCCTTGTTTTTTATTAAATTCACTGTTTTTCGTGGTCCGTTTGACCAATTAATATCATTCAGTGGTCATTAATATCTTCAGCTCGTGACACTGAATTTTTTTATGTCAACTTAAAACTTTAGTTATTCAGATATCGTGAGATGCGGTCGGGTGTGATGTAGGTTTCAGAAAACATTTTCCTTATCGTGCCAACGTTTCGATCTTTATTGAGATCATCTTCAGGCACGATAAAGAAAATGTTTTTCTGAAATCTACATCACACCCGACCGCATCTCACGATACTGAATAACTATCGATTAACGGTCACTAATCTCTACACATTAAAACCTTAATTAATAGAACTTGTTTTTTATTAAACGACGAAAAGTTCCTTAAAACCTGGAGGGTTGAGCAGGAAGTCAAAATGTTGAAGATAATTTATTATTCCTCGGAATGCAAACGTTTATGAACTAAATGTTCGAAATGTTATGGCTTTTAGTAATTTTAACTAGCATCGATACATTGTAAAAACAAACGCACTCAAATCGAAATTTCGCCTTTAAGACTGAGAGTGAAAGAGAGAAAGTAGTGAGAAAAAAATCGGTTTCTTACAGTCCTACTTGTTCAAAGTTATTCCTAGGTACTATTACGCTCAGCGCGCTTTCACAACAAAATATAACTATACCAATATGTAACAAACTAAATTCGTCAAGATCGTGAATGATTGAACGAAAAGAGTTAATGAAAATAAAAATGCCTATTTTTTTTAAAGGCCGGAACCAATGGAACATTTTGAAAGACTTAGAAGAGTAAGTGGAAAAAAGAACAACTTTTAATCAGGTCTGGTGATAAGACGATAGTACACGTTGTTTGAATAGATTAAAACGACGACTTTTGTGCAATATAAAATGCACAACAAAACAGGTCTCGGAAGTGGGAGGGTGTGCTGGTTTAAGCAACATGGTAAAGTTCATCGCCCCTGCAAACGAAACGATCCTAGAGATGATCGATAAAGATCAAACTGTCGACAGCACTTTATCAACGTCGACACCAAAAAGATCAATATCTTCCAAAAGGGCATTTTGAATAAACAGATTATTTAATAAAAATCTAATTCGCAAACAAAATGAATATAACTTTTTTATAGTTTAGTTCAGAGTTGGTTAGATTTTCAACCTCGGAGAGAAATTTTTATTTAGAACGAAACAGTGGTGTAAAGGTGGTTTTTGTACAAAATTGTTCAACAGAGAAAACACCGAGCCATGACGTGGTAATTATGCGGTTCCTCTTGTCTATTTTCTTTGTCTGTAACCCATTTACCGAGTTTGCAGCAAGACGCAAAATTGGAAAAACTGTATCCAGAAACATTCCACAAATCAATAGAACCGATACAGAACAGCAAAATGTCACTTGAATTCTCCTCTATAAGAAAGCCTACTCACTGTGCTTCAGAAGATCTTGGTACTTTCGAATCTTCATTATATAAGTGTATTATGCGCTTTATCTTATTTCCCCGTCCGGGAACACGAATCAGTTGTATCACTGTCTCACTGTGAGGCAATACTGAAGAGCCCAGTATTTATTTAATGTAAATAAATTTAAAAAAAAGAAGAGATAAGATAATGCCTCAACGATAACCTCTACAGACCTTAGCCCAGGAGACACTGTCCTTCCATTGTTCACCTGTTCAAGAACAAATCGCGTGTTTGTTCACAATGAATAATTTTCTGAAATAATTTATACTTCGAATATTAATTTTATCCGGGCGGAAAAGTAATTGCAAGCAGTGAGTAATAGGAAAAAACGGATGTTCGATTGAACAAGAGCAATGGAAGTTCCTAAGTATGTGCGTTTTCATTTGGGAATTGGTGAAATAAATACTCGGACAATTCACTACACATCATAATTTATTTATTCAACTTTTATCAACAATAAACTAAAAGCAGACAAACAAAA